TGGCCTAGGTATGTTGTCCCCATGTTGGCCTATGTTGGCCCTATGTTGACCCATCTTGAAGGCTATGTTGGGCATATGTTGGGGATACGTTGGCTATCTTGGGCCTATGGTGGGGAGATGTTAGGCAACTTATGTCCCCAACACCCACGAAATGTCGATTAAGCCTGTCCGCGCGGCACGCGTAACCGACACCACCGGCGCCCTGTTAGGCGAAAGTCGTATCCGCCGAAGGCCACGAAACGCTGTAAAAAACGATGTTTTTGAACATTTTTGGAACATCCTGCGCAAGATACATATAAATCTGTCGACCGGATTTGGGCGGGGGTCGACCGGGGGTCGACCGGGGGTCGGGCGGGGGTATCCCCGCGGTCCAACAAAAGGGTCGGCGGCAGGGGCGGCGAGCGTATATAACCTTCGGTTACCAACCGAAGGCCTCCGGCAAGGGAACGTGCGCGTGGCCGGCGCCCGGATTGTAAGGGCTTCGCCCTAGTGCCGCCGACCCTTTTTTGTGGGAAGGATCTGCAGTGAAAGGGTAATGTAGAAACGAGGAGCCAGAACGCTAGTAACGTAGAAGCGAGCCGCCATGAGCGATCTTTGGGGAAGGACCTGCAGTGAAAGCGTAATGTAGAAACGAGGCTCCCGGCTGAGGTGTGTGTATGGGCAGGCGCGTGCCAGGCGCTCCCTCCCAAGGCTCCCAGGTGTGCGTATGCGCAGAAGGCGCATCTATTTCTGCCCACAACAGCGGTAGGAGCGGGGGGGGTGCAGCCAGCCAAAATGCCTAACGTTGCCTGGCACGTTGCCTGGCACATCGCCTTCGGGAGCCCATAGAACAGTTGCCTGGCACGTTCCAGAGGCTGACTCGCAAGGCTGCAGCTGGTGCAGTTGTCGCCTGGCACGTGCCCAAGGCTCCCGGCAATCTATGTCGCCGCAGCTTTCCACCATCTAATTCCACACCAAGAAGGGGCGAGCCGCTGCCAGCCAAAATGCTTAACCCGTAGCAGCAGCGCAACTAGGCCCAGGTGCAGGCGTGCAGCAGCCCAGGTGAATAGAAAGGGTGTCTTGGACTGAAGCGGGATGTCCATGCGGGGCTCCAGCAGGTTCGGAACCGCATAGCAGCAGCCCAGGTAGGTGGCCACAGGCAGGTGCTGTGGCCGAAAGCAAGTTGAGCCACCGTTTCACCTGCGGTGTCCCAGGCGCCGCCCCGCCTAGGCGTCAGCTAGGCAGGGGTCGGCGGATATTAATGTATATCGTTTTGAAAGGTTTTCTCATGGCGGGCCGGCAGTTAGAGTACTCCAAAATTAAATACATGCATTTAAAATGTTCAACATCGCGCTAAGGAGGGTGTGAAAAACTTGTAGTTAGAGCATTTCGCAGTTAGAATGCTGCATGGTAAGCCAGTGGATCAACACGCAGCCTTCTTTCCTCACAACCCTGATGTCTCTCAGCGTCCTTATTTCCAACCTTCTTTCAAGCCAAAACTCATAGTGATCGGTAAAGCGCTGGTCCATGGCCATCAACTAGATTCAACGGCGTAATATCAATATTTCATTTGCGTACGTGTATGCAATTTGCGCATGATTTTTTCAATATCTGACCCACCCTTTTGACATGCACATCTTGGATTTCCCGATTCAATGTATAATATATATACTAAAATATTCTATGCGCAAGACCGCTATTCTGAATGACTTCTCAGTTCGGGACAAAGATGTTAAACGCAATGAAGGTATGATGTGTGGCGCTTTCAGCAGTGTTGCCTCCTATCTGCAGCGTGCTCGAACTTGGAGCTGCAATGAGTCGGAGCGGCTGGGTTGCCTTATCCAACAGCACAGATGAGATATATATGTTCAGCTTAGGTCCTGGAATTTTGGAATAACTTTCAATGATGAAAGCAGTTCAAATCGCACCGAGCCATGATTGAGCAGGCCCGAACAGGGAAGTCCACCTCCACACACACACTTATATAGATCGTTGCTCGCAAGAGCTGTATCAGTTTTGACATTCCCGTGAGCTAGTTACTGCATTACCCATCTAGAGCGCTGGAACTTGAAAACCTAAAAAGGCCCTGCTCGTAACGGAAAGGTGGAGGGTTCAGGCTAAACAGTATGGTTTAAACCAAGTGCATGCGTGTATTCCGCAGGTACGTTCCTGAGGCGTCCCTCAGGAATATCACAGTCTCAAACCACCGTCTTCATTGGGCAGTAGATGGAATGAGACTCACTGCCCCCCTGGTGTCTGCACATCGACTGTTAGGATGGATTAGCCTGCTGTGCTCTTTTCCTTTGGGACAGGAAGTGACACACACAAAAAGCCGAATCGGCGCTCTCTCTTTTTCTCCGCGGGGTGTGTGTGCGGGGTGTGCATTGACTAAACGAGCCTACAAGACAACCTAACAAGCCCGAAGAAACGACCAAACAAACGAAGAAGGCAAGGAAAGGGGGCAGGGGTGCGGGGGGTGGGTGTGCATTGACTAAACGAGCCTAAACGTCGACCTAACAAGCTTGAAGGAAAGAACAAACAAACGAAGAAGGCTAGGAAAGTAAGGGTGCAGGGGTGTGGGCGGGGGGTTGATTGAAAGGCACGGGCCCAAGGGCACTGGCCAAGAAGCCGAAACCGGCGCTCCCTTGTTAAAAAAACCTGTGTTACACCTAAAAAGCTTTTTGCAATGAAGAAAGACCTAGAACACGAAGAGAAATCGAAAGAAGACAAGCAAGACGGCAAACATGTCTGATGTGAGTAGCATGTCATGACATTTTCAGGAAAATGGTTTCAGTGGGCTCTGAAGCATCGTATCTGCGATCTCAAGCAAACAGCTAAGCCAGTGAGATTCGAGCATAAACGAATGGTCAGTGAATTTTCACCCTTAAGGGCCTGTGCAAGAAGCGCCTCTCGGCGGGGATCACACAACAGACTTCTGTGGGACCCTGTTGCGGCACACACTTAGATCGTTGCTCGCAAGAGCTGTATCAGTTTTGACATTCCCGTGAGCTAGTTAGCTAGTTACTGCATTACCCATCTAGAGCGCTGGAACTTGAAAACCTAAAAAGGCCCTGCTCGTAACGGAAAGGTGGAGGGGTCAGCCTAAGCAGTATGGTTTAAACCAAGTGCATGCGTGAATTCCGCGGCCCTCGGGGAATATCACAGTTTCAAGCCACCGTCAGCATTGGGCAGTAGATGGAGACTTGTACATCGACTGCAGACACGTTGAACACGCAGAAAGCCACTTGAATCCAGTCGGAAGAAGTGGACGCTCGAAGGTTTTATGCTCTCATCGAAGCCGGAGAGAAGAGCCTCAAGGCGGTGGCTGTGGAGATGGAGGTGGTGCAGCTGCTGGCGGTGGTAGGACTGAAAGAGTCCAGTTCATAATGGATGCGCTGATTTGATGGATCGATGAGTGCGGCATAACCGCATAGCCAGTTCATCATGTGTATTAAGTGGCGAGCATTGTGCAGCGGCAGCTTCATGATCAACGACCCAATAGCTGGTGGCAACAAAGTGCTTTTGCCCGAAACTAGCTCCACCACACTCCAAAATTGTGTTGCATCCCTTCCAGGACAACTTCGTGATGAGGACAATACCTGGCTGCTGCTGAATGAACTGCAAGAGAAGTGGTTGGCTTACCGTGCTTCCACTCCAGGTGTCCAGCGTGTCCGCCCAGGAATTCTAGAATATTTCGGCCCTCAGAAGGATTCGGATTGAGTCTTCGAATTTAGAATTCGCAATCGAAGGAATGCCGAACGGATTTTCATGGATCGTCCTAGGTCCTCCTCAATAGCTCTTGCAAATCGCTGACCGACAGTTCCAAGAACGTCTGGATTATTCATTTGAGTATACGAAAGCAAAATTGCAGCATTTGACAAAAGATCTGCAGACTATGGAGGTGCTCCGGAAGCTCCCCTTTGGTCCCTTCAGCCTTCATTCACAATGCATTCACTGAGCCTCCCTTTGGTCCCACCAAAGCTTCATCCCAGTCCTCGGCACTCTGTTGGACTTGTCAGTCTTGCCAGGGAAACCTCGTTTCTTTGGATTCTCTTGGCTTGGCTTGTTGGTTTGTTCCATGTCTTTTCATTTTTGTTCCCGTTTTTTCTGTCAAATTCCAGACAGCTTCCAACGACGAGCTTTGAACCACACGATTCGTTGAGCTTATTCGATTCTCGAGCCTACACCAGGAGCGAAGATCTTGCAGAGTGTGCAAGGGCTTTTACTGAGTGAGGGAAGGAGACATAGGAGACGGAGACATGACTACGCTACCCGATGCCAGCAACCAACATGGATAAGGCACATGAGTTATGTCAGCACTCTTGGGTCGCTCAATCTTGTTGATTCATGTTGATTCTCCTATGTTTGAAATTGGGAGCAGCGTTAGCCAAGGCCCCGCATCCTTGCTCCTAGTAGCGATGCCCTTTGCCCCTAGTAGCGTCCTTGCTCCTAGTAGGAAGGCCAGGAGCCCCTAGTAGCTTCTTGTTACTAGTATTAGTAGTAAGGCCAGGAGCCCCTAGTAGCTTCTTGTTACTAGTAGTAAGGCCAGGAGCCCCTAGTAGCGTGCTTGTTCCTAGTAGTAAGGATGCTCCTAGCAGCTCGAAAAGTTGATGTCTCAGTTTCGTTCTGTTTCTCTGTGGAACATTGGACGGTATGACGTCCACGAGAGTCAGGGAGGAGTGGTGTGGAGTGGTGAACAGGTGAACCGAAGTGTAGCTCATGGGGCTTGGCTTTCCCTGTTTACAATAAAACAGCTGCAGTTTGTGGCTCAACATGAGTATGCCGCGACGAACTGGAAGTCGAAATGTTGAGGACACTTGACAGGTCGAAAGATACAAGCCATTTGCTTTGACTGTAGCCAGCTTTTGATCCAACCCCGCAGTCTTTCACTCTTCCAGGCAGAGTCAGATGTTTGAGGCCATCCCTGGCCCTGACGACAGAAGGGCAGGTAAACATCGATCTACATCGATTGCATGAATCTCTATCAGTGCCCCCAAGCTCGAAGTCGAGCCTGAAAAAACATGGAGACAGATTCGAGGTGCTCGCGCGCCCAACTGGGGCTGGGGAGAAAGGCTCAGGAATCTCAATGATCACGTGTGGGGTGAAGCAGAATCAGCATCCTGTCGTACTAAGGAAACAACGAGTGGTAGTACGCACGTTTGCTAAGCACTGGTCCAACAACCGCCCTTGATTGTGAATACTGATTGCTTGATGAAAGCCACATGACATGCTCCAACGTCTGTGATACAGAAGGTTAAATGCCTCCAAACGTTGGTCTCTCCTGGTGTTTCATCAAAGACTTCATACATTGTTAGGACAGGCACAGCTCGATCCAGGCTGAATGACCTCAGCACACCCCTTTGTGCAACAGCCCTGTGACTCAAAGTGAAGCGACTTCCGGGTTTCCAGAGAAAGGAGGAGATTGTGTCGTAATTAGGGTTTCCGGAACATTGGGGCACTGATGGGCACCCACCCGGCTTCAGAACCGAGGGATCGAGGGATGACAACCACCCGTAGAGCAATGAACAGCATGCATTCTCCGAGAGTCTCCTTTGCTGGTTGCAGAACCAAGTAGAATCGATCTTTGGATTTTAGATGGCACACGCGGCATTTGTGACGCTTCAAGGCTAGCAACTGTTTTTTAGATATTCTGGGAGCTGTAAAGGCCCCATCTGGTGAGTTGAATCACCCGCGAGAGTCCGCCAAAGCGGTAGACCAAGGTGTAGGCTTCTTATTGGACCCTCGACATGAACTCTTTCTAGTCTGCTAGGAAGGGCGGCTTCAATGATGTCTATCCGCAAACTCCTCACTTATTGTGGCTTACACGTGCTTCACTCCTTTAGAGTTTGATGCCCCTTCATTTGCCACTAGCAGCCTTACAAGAGCCATTCAAAAGTGCGTCCACCATGGGGTTGTCTTGCAAGGAGTCGCACACAATGCTGATTGATAAATGGTCTGATTCGGCTGTGAACTGGTACCGGCAGCAACAATGCTATGGTAGAACCATGTAGAACCCCTCGTAACAACCCAACCACGAGTAAAGCACCACAACGAACTAGGAGATGAGGCAAGGTGAGTCAACGACGATGAGTGGGATTACGACTATATAATCCTTGTCATTCTTGCAGCTTCAGCTCATTCTTCCCTCAGGCATATATAATACTTCTTCACCAGAAATCATGAGAATAGGGTTGAGCTTGAAACCCTAGGTGAAGCTTACAGCACTTAGTTATCACCACCAGTGATTCCACGGTTTTGGCGGAACCAAGGTCTTCAGCCCCAACCATCCACCCAAGAAGGCGCGCAGAGCGGGCAGCCGGATGGACGGGTTTCCATGAGGGAGCAATCCTGATATGGTTAAGTGCAAACCGGGTTCTTTCGGTTCCAAAGTTCCGCGTAGGCATTGTTTTGAGATGTTTTGAGGCAAAACTTTCTAGTAGCGTCCTTGTTCCTAGTAGCGATGCCAGGAGCCCCTAGTAGCGTCCTTGTTACTACTAGTAAGGCACTTGTTACTAGAAGCGATGCACTTGTTACTAGCAATTTCTAGGCATGCAACAGGCTTAGCATAAGATGTTTTGAGGCAGCATGCACTCAACAAGATTGTTCTCTTTGCTCCAAGCGGCAGCTTGGTACTGACAAAGACTATGAACGGTTTTTCATGGAGCCGCGTGTGCTGAAAACCTTTCCAGGTGGAAGTTCAACAAGGTCAGCAAGCCCGGATGCCAAGGTTCAGACCAGCCACATGGTATGTACTGGTAAATTGGTGATTTCTCCCACCCTAGTCGCTGCGCCCTATATAGTCTGCATACATCACTTTTGCTTGCCAAAGACAGGTAGCTGAAAGATGCTCGTTGTACTTGCCTTTGTGGCCGAACGACTCAAGGATTCGGACAGCTGCCTACAGGCACTTATTGCACGTGTGGGGCTCAGTAGTGCTGGGTGACACCTGCCTAAAGGAAGAGGCTCCATGGGCCCAGAAGTTTATTTGCTACAGCAATACGGTATATATATATATATCATGTATATATATATATATGGACAAAGGCATCAAAGAACATTGATTTCAGACATTGTAGTATCAGACACTAGAATATTCTGATCCACAAATGACTCCGCGTCAAACTGCTCCTGCTCCTCGTTGTTTTTGTTTGGCAGTGGCTCAATGACTCCTCCTCTGCTAATCAAAATGAGGCTCCACTTCGATTGGAGACTCGGAGGTGATGCTGGTCATTAGGCTGGGGAGTACAGCCATTGCGGCCATTGCGTGCTCGGGTGGCGCGCTCGCGTGGATACTGGCGTGTGCTGCGGGTCTTGATTTTGAACGATTCCAAGCTTTGCTCCTCATTCGCCTTGTTGTCATTACACCGTCGCCAGGGCCAAACAGTTCAGTTCAAGCAATGTCGGGGGGGAACAACTGGGTCCGAATCGGGAATGGCAGAATTGGTTGCTTCCTGCTTTAGTTTGCGTAGGTAGAGCTCACACTGGGCTTTCAATTCTATAATCATAATGCTTTGTGCTTTGCTTTTATGTAGCAATGTAGCCTATTTCGGTACTACGTAATTACTCAAGTTTCTCATGGCTTCGTAGGTTTGCTGACTCCACGACATGCAGAGTCTGAGCTTGTTGTGATTTGAGACGATTGAGCTAGAACTGATGGAAGCACAGCATAATCGAGCTGATGAGAGATGGGCAAATTGATCAAAGAAACCTTCCGGTTTATTTCGAGAAGTCCTTGGACTTTCTGGTGTCATGAGCGGTCTCGGCACCTCAGTGCCATCCCAACTTTGGTGGATCTCGCTTGATGAGGTCGTCTGTTTGGATCAACTTTGTGCTGATGGTTTGCAAGCTGTGCCCCCCTCAAGAGCATATGAATCCCTTTGATGATGAACATCATCATAATCATACATCATCCTATTTATTTGCTCACCGTGGAAATAGATTTGTTACTTCAAGCTTTATTCGGGCCGCGGATAAAGTGCCTCATTTTTGGGGTGGAAGGGTTGTTTCTCGGGCCTCATATCGACCTACCGAGTGGAGACACATTGCGTCTTTGACCCTCATTTCGTGCTCTCCGCATCGAGATTTCCAACAAAACAATGGCAAAACAAAACAAGACTTCACAGAAGCAGGCATTTTCGTGTGTTGAACTTCAAGATTGAGTCTTTTGTCGCTTTGGACGTTTTAGATGTGAGCTTGTTAATCCTACAGGCACGCCCTCGACCACAATTTAAAATCAACCTGGGAAAGAGAGTGGATGCTGTTCCGTTTCTATGGGTGTTTTGTGTGCTCTGGTGTTTGGGCAAAACTTTGAGACAGCTTTGTGCGGCAGTTGGGACACCAGTGAAGACCAAACAGAAAGGTACACGTTCCTGATCTCTGGTTCCCTCGCTGTCTTGGCCTCGCTGGTTGACTCCATCATCGCCGGCACCTCAAGACTGCATAAAGGTTCGGGTGACAAGTTGATAGAGGCCTAATCAACCGGTATTCCCCGCCTTTGGATTCTTTTGCAAGGGCTCGAAATTCACGTTAGATTCGTAGTATGTTGAAGTAAATGTGCGGTGTTGAGTCCTGAGCCCATTTCTTCTGGGCCCTGGACCATCCGCTACCGCGTCCTTTTGATGTCTCAGGATTTGCTCGGCCAAGGGGCGCTTATGTGGGGCAGCTCAGAATAGGAGCAACAGCCATGCCGCTCGGTCATTGTTCAGTCGTTTTTTGCATGGACGATTAGAATTAGAATCGATTAGACTTAGACGAAGTCAAGTGCTGTATGTCAAGAACTCAACTCCCCCTTGTCCATAGACCGATGGGAAGAGCCTATATATGTAAGACAGAAGATATATAGTTTCAGAGTTCAACATATACCAGAAAACAAATACTGTACAGACAACGAACCTCTGCTGTCGATTCGAGTTGAAAAGCAATCATCCCTTTTTAGTCTGACCAGTCATTGAGGTTTACTAGCGCGCTGGCGAAGGGGAAGAACGAGGATGAGTACCCCGTAGGACGTGGGCGTCTTGAGCCCGTTGGAGCAGGGAGGCTCAGACGCTGGACGTTTGTTCTTGGCATTCCAATCTAGAATACCGCATACCTTTTCTATCCTTTTCTTCCATTCTTCCAAAATGATCGCAAGGGCAATCTTAGGCCTTAAGCAAGATCATTTTGGAAAATTCATTTTTTGGGGCTTGAGTCTAGAGTCTTAGCAGATCCTGCAATGTTTGTGTCCCAGCACCACATCTGAGGTGATGATTTGTGCAGTCGTCATGGGAATGGCCAGCATGGAGGCCTCTGCGGGGAAAACTGAAAAGACTGGCCAACACCTGCAGATCCAAGCACAAAGCAGTATGTCCAAGTCGTATCAGTCATGTCGCCTTGGCGTTTGCGCGAGGTCATCAGCCAGCCGGCGCCTCGTAGTCCAACTGCGAGTTGAGCAGCAAGTATTGTATAGGGGATGCGGCTTCGGGGATGAGACATCCCCTTCATATTCCACATTGCTTCTAGGTTGGAGGCCATCGCAAATAGGTTGGAGGCCATGCTACTAGGTTTTCCAAATCCTGGTGGCTTTTGGCGGGACTGCCTGTGAGTGGCTGAGGTCGACGGTACGCCTGGTGAAGTTCTGGGATCGCAGTGATGCGCCCGAGGTTGCACCTTGGTCAGAAGAACTCACTGGATGTTCGCCTTTCGACATGTCGCCTCACTGTTCATGTTGCTGTGGAGAGACCCATAAAGTGGGCTTTAAGTATTGGCATGTTTTCTGTTTCCAGTGATTCCTGTGGCTGTGGGAACTTCCTGCCTAAAGACATACACAGTCATGGTCACACACACACACACATCGTCCTGGGTCAACACTAACTCTGCTCACAGAGCAATCAGTGTCCTGGAAAGAGCGGCAAACGTCACTTCCATGCCGATTTGGAATCCCTCGTCACTCGCTCGGAGTGTAGCTGAAAGAATTACATAGACGTGTCAGCCAATCTGCGGAGGAGCAGAGATGCTGCATACTTGGCACACTTGTATAGAGGTTTCCCAGGGGGCAATGTCGCACTTCAAGGAGATCAATGGTCGCAATCTTCGAAAGAGCAATTTCAGAACACGAAAGGTAGAAAAAGGCCAGCGACTGCATGGAAACCGATCTTTCTTTGTCCTTCGTTGCAAGTCTTTCAAGAGCTCGGCACTTCTTTGCGCTGGCTCCGCTCTGAGGCCTTAACAATGACCGCCGTCCGGTATGCCTGGAGAAGAGCATCAAATCAACTGTGGAATGTAGGTGTTGAGAGCAAAGGAAAAGCAATTCTCCACTGCAGATATGGTACACTCCCAGACCGGATGATCACTGTATCAGCTACGTACTGTAAAGAGGGCAATGACCCGCTCTGGCCAGTGTGATTTTTGTCAGTTTTCAGCTGCAAAATTAGCGTTCTGGCGCCACTCTGGCACTGGAAACACACAGATATATATATATATATATATACCCGATTACCCGATTGGCTGGATCTTTGCGACGAACCACTGAGGCCTTGCTCTTGGTAGGCGTGATCTTCCTGAAGGCAAATGTTTTAGCCCTGCAACAGCCTGTAAAAGGTGCCGAAGAATTAACACCAACGGAAAAGAACCTCACATCTGAAGTGGACATGAAACCTCTTGTGGAATGACTTATCCATTTTGCGCGTTGCAACTGAGTCATGTATTGTGATAATCAGCCCCACGACTCAAGGTGGGGCTGTGGCACTGGTGCTCAGCTGTGTACCAGCGAAATCCTCAAGAAGCTGTCAAGGTGGGACTAACTTGTTTTCCACTTGTTTTCGTAAATATAGACATGTATAGACTTTCGCTCATGACCCATCGTGTTGCCACCATCCCTCCAAACAATTGGATGGTTGTTTGGTGTCTCCCGCATGATCCTGCATGAATGAGGGCCCAGGCTTAGTGCCTCAAGGAGTGATTGGTGCTTGACAACCCGATATGTATAAGTAACGAATGACTGCCTGGTGGCTTAGTATTCTTTAATCCGCTCTTTAGTATCTTATCAGCAGTCTGATTCATTTCGCAAGTTCTGGAGTTTGCGGCCGAATAGCTCGGACATGCTTTTTTTGACCTGTAAAGCTGCACAGTTGATGATTTGTGATGTCGTGAAGTGACAGTGTGACAGATGCAGAAATCTTAATCTCTACCATCCACTAATTTTCTCTGGAATCTTTCCCCCCCGAAATCTCCTCTTCGCAGTCTGAGCCTCCTGTGTGCGTTTGGGCAAATTCCATCCTGCCAGGCGATTGCTCAGGATAACCTCAATGATGTGATTTCGAACATCGCTGCCCTGATTGCCCCAGAGGCGTCGTTGGGACAGTTCAGTGGGGTTGGACAAAGCAAGAAAAAAAAGAAGCACAAGACACAAAGAGAGCACCTGACAGCAAGGACGCTACTAGGAACTCCTGGCCTTACTACTAGGAGCAAGGACGCTACTAGGAGCAAAGGGCATCGCTACTAGGAGCAAAGGGCATCGCTACTAGGAGCAAGGACGCTACTAGGGTCATCTTGTCATCCATGCGGTCTGCCAGATGATCTTGCTCGGTCACCAGTTTTGGCTGGTGGATCCTTTCGCCGGGATCGCCATCTCGGTCGGGGAACCTGCAAGGGGCACAAGGAACCTGGCCTTTCGCTTCCGCCTGGCGTGACATGTGCGGGTGAGGAGAGAAGAAACATTCATGCAATGCAGTTTCCCCCCCCAAAAAGTTTCTATGTGTCAACTCAGAGTAAGTATATATAATATATAGATCATGGGTTGGGGGCTTGCAAAAAGGCGATCATTGAGAACTTGTTTGCAAGCAAGTCATTCCAGTGTGGGCAGACATTGACAGTTAAATGGAAAGCCTCCACCAGAGGAAATTGACCTCTCTTTGCTGCGGGCCGATGCCAGCATGCTACAGTCCAGACGAGCACTTGAGGAGTTTCAGGTTTACGAAAGATCCAACAAGTGCGCCATCCATGCCACTGTTTCGGCTCAGTCTTTTGCATACCTGCTTTACGCGGGCCATTGCCGTCAATGACGGCCATGGCCTTGCGGTTGTCGGATCGCCTGCGTGGTTTTTTCGACGCTGCTGATGGCGCAGAGGGTGAACTGGCTGCTGACCCGCTGTTGGATGTAGTCCACCAGTACCCAGAGACTTGATGTTCACCAGTCTCGTGTCGCAGCTCTTTGATTCTTTTGTTTTGTGTTGCCTTTTGTTGCCTTTCGGCCCCCGTCCAAGCAAGAACAACAGAAAGAAGCCAATTGGATCCAATAGTTGTCTAGCCAGGTTTGAAAAGTTTTTACATTTTTACTTTCCAGTTTTGACGCTTTTGACACTTTGTCAGTGTTCTATTTCATCCTTTTTGCTGGAAGGAAGAGGCTGCCTGGTTCATCAAGGTGGTCATGTTCTTTGGGAGCATCTCTGGTGTCATCATTTCAATCCCCTGCGGAGTTTTCCTTACAATGTACTGGGATCCACGCTTTTCACTTAGCAACATTTTCTTTTGCTGTTTGTCTTTGAGTTTTTATGTTTCTAAAGACTCTTTCAATGCATCCAGAGACGGGCATTGAGGGCATTCTAGCCGCTCTAGCCTTCAATCAGGCAGCAAGTTTATTGCATAGATTCTCTATTGTGACAGCCACAATTTGTTTAGGAGAGGCCACACCATAGTGATGTAGACAGCTTCAGCTTGCAAAGGTCAAAGTCTGCAACCTATGATCTGGATGTGGGTCAAGACTCAGATATCCAACCCTCCCGTAAGCAGGGGTTTGCTTTTTTCTTTCACACTCCCAAAACCAGTGTTGCCGAGAGGCCCCTTGCGGGCAATGCAATCGGCCATTGCGATACTGGATCTTAGTACATTGCGTCTTGCAGCTACTTCAAGCACCCGTGCGGCTAGCTCCTGGGATACTTTAAGTGCGATTACTTGCCGTTGCCGCTGTTGCCTTCCCTTCCCTTCCCTTCCAATCTGTAGACCACGATTCCTGTTTCCAATCTATTTGAGGATGGGTTAAAAAGTGAGGACCAACTGTGGGAGTTTGGAAAGGCACCGGATCTGGACATTTTCACAACAGAGCGTTGAAATCTCTTCAATGTCATTTTGTCGGGTTTGCACAAGTCTCTTCAACAACTGTGTGCTGTTTGCTGATTAGCCTTTGAAAACCCAGCTCCTTTCTGCAAACCCGGTGATTTGTCTAAGCCTTTGAGGATCACAGTCTGACACATTCTTGCAGGCGCCCGGTCTTTCCGTTCTGAAGCCACTCAGGTGTTCTTTCTACGGTTGTGCCACGTGCAGAGCTTGAACAATAACATCCAAGAATGTGTCCGTCAGCTCACACATAGCGCAGCATGGAGAACTAGCAAGGTGCAGAGCTCAAGACAAAGCTGGGAGGTATGATGCACGAGTTGACATGGGACACCGTTGGGTATCCAAGACGGACAGCGAAAAGGTAAGATACTGTGCATGTATGGCCTTTTTGTTGCTCTCTTTTTGTTGAACCCTGGGTCTCAATTCCACCCGCTGCAAAAGTTCATAATTATTGATGGGCCGGCTGGCTGTCATAGTCATAGATCATTTGCCACCAAGGAACCCAATTGCAGGGGCACCAGCAAGCCGCAAGCCCCAAGTGGGTGAAACAATCCAGGTAATGCGGCCATCAATCCAAATGAACGTTTATATTTATAAGCAACATTCAAGGGTTCTTTAGCATGCTGGCCACAAAGATGATGGACTTCATTGAGCAAGTTCAGAAATCACAGAAGCTAGCTGACAGTTTTGCGCCATCCAAGTCTTTGGAAGGTGGTATCAATCATCACCTACGGATGGTTCATCTTGGGCATCGTTTGGCTTTTGAACTCGACATATTGCAAGCCATGCCCAGGACTGCAGGGGGGGCAAGACAGGGCATGTGCGTGGGGAGATTCAGAATGATGGTTCAATACAAATTATGGAATCAAAGCTTCAAGATACGGTCAAACGCTTGTAGCCGGGAGGAGAGTGAGAGGGAATGTACGTGACTTAGGGGGAGGTTCTTCCTAAAACAACTGCAAGGCTTAGTGCTGAGTTTTGAGCGACCACACGTTGTGCATCTCCCGTGTCTTGCAATCCAACGTCCCCAGAAAATGTATGTCTCCAGAATGAAGGACCCTCCCCATGAAGACCCAAAGCATCCGAAACAACGTTAGAACAGCTCCGCCTGGGGCGAGGATTGTACCGCTTGTCCCTAGCGGTTATCTTCGCAGCGGTGGCCCGACTCCTAATGACCTTGATCGTCTTCTATCACTCCTTCCCGCCCCGCTTCCAGGGCTGCTTGGACTGTATAGAGGGATGAATTGGGGGTGGGCCTTTTCTTTTTTGAAGAGCTTCGGGAAGAGCACGTTGTGGAAATGCGGAGGGGTTGAACCGATTGGTTCTACAATTCGCGTGCTGCAAGTGCTAGCCTCTCTGTCGTTCCACCTTCAATGAGCTGCGAGACATCCGACTCCTCACTGCCTTTATGGGGGCTTCCCAATCGTCCCGAAAAGGTGGATGAAAATGGCTCTAGCTACGCTGGTCAACCTGAGAAACCAGAGGCCCCCAGCTCCATGTCTTCATTTGCCACATCAAATGGTTGTGCTCGAGCTGTGAATCTGCGGCAGCATTGAAGCCCTCCATGTCCACCCAGGTCAGGGTTTGCCGCCAAAACCTCGCGGAGCTAATCAAGAATTGATCGTTGCTTGGTTTGAAGACTTCCTGGTGCTTCCGCGACTTCCGTAGTTTATTAGCCGATATTTGCAGTCTTTGTAGCTCTTCGCAAGTTTTGCAAACATGCTCAGGACTCGATGCCTCTCATCGTTTACTCGCAAGAGATGCGGGGAGAGGAGCTGATTTGGTTCGGCCAAACCTGTCTGGGGAATTTAAATGTTGGTCACATGGATCAGCTAATCGGTCCTCTGATGATGGAGGTGTCGACAAACTGGGCTTTCCTGCTTGGTCAGTGTGTATTCGCTGTGAGAGAACCACTTCACGTTTTCCACAAACTGGTGTGGCCTTCGTCACACCTTGGTTGTCTCGATTGTGGAGGGAAGCGATTCAGCAAACACTTGAGATACTGAACATTTTTGAATTCTGTTTCGCGGTTGTGAATTTCATTCACAAACTTTCAAGGTGATGCTTGCAGGTCAAAGCCCCCAGCAGGAGTTGAGGTGATGATATCCAACAGTTCCTGAGACGGAGACACATCACTAGTGGCTACCAGTGTGGGAAACCATGCACATACTGCATGCAAGTCTCCCTTCACCCGAAGGGCCCGAAGTGCTTTTTTGCTTTTGCCGAACAACTCGGGTAGCCCCAGGAGACCAGTTGCGCGGTTTGCCTTAGTGACTTCGACCGAGACGCGGTCTTGCGTCGCCTGCCCTGCGGCCACAGCTGCTTGGTCTTTGCGGCTTGCGTTGGCCAGGGGATGTTTGTTTACTATCAGCAACAAGAAGCTAGTAACAAGGTGCATCGCTACTAGTAGCAAGGATGCTACTAGTAGCAACCTGATCATGTAGAACTGAAGGCTTCCGGATATAGATTCCATCACTTGCTTTCTCCAAATGCTAGAAATTTGCTGACTAGTCAATGTGAGACATATTACCAGGATCTCATGATCCAAAACTCGTTTGTTTGAATATATATATATACATACACACACACACACATTCTGCACAAGTCATGACTCGGTTATAAGTCTTGACGTTGAGGACTCTTGCAAGACACATCCAACACTATCCAAGACCTGGAATATCAAATGTAGTTGTAGATTGAGCAGAGAGCACTCTGTAGGATTCCACAATATTTGGTGCAGCTGATGAGTTAACGTTAAAACCTACAGCCTACTGACTGTAGATTTTTTCACCTTCAACTGTAAACCTTTTCTTGTCGGTGTGTTGAGTGAGGCTTCCATCGCGGCTGCATCGACAAGTGGCTCAAGCGGAACAAGGTTTGCCCGCTGTGCTTGCAAGAGACCTGGCTGCCTGAGATTTTGCAGTGAAACACTTGCTCATGCTTGGAGTTTGGCCAACACCGAGTCTGACTGAAGTCACAACGTGGGTCTGCTGGAATGTTATCAAACATGCTAGATTGAGATTTGACTGGGTGCAAGTGTCAAAGTCTCGTCTACTGTTGCTGCAGTTTGAAGTGCGCTGATTGTGCATATCGGCCACGTGTCCTGCAACAATACGCGATGTTTGCAATGTTACAGCCTTTTCTGGAGAATCTTTCCTGTAATCCAGTTCCAGTAGGTGTTTGATGGTCCAGGTGCAGGGGAGGGAAGGCTGCTTCCAATGTTTCCACAGGTTATGTTTCCATCACATGACATGACATATTTATTCTTTTCGTACACTTCCACAAAAAATGACATGGCACTTAGACACACGCGCGCACACTTAGATATTGGCTCGCAAGAGCAGAATCAGTGGTGAAGTTCCACTCTAGTGACTCTAGTGATTACATTACCAGCTTAGAGCGCTGAACCTAAGACCTGCAACAGCCCTGCTCACAACGAAAGGGTGGAAAAGTCAGCCTGAAAATTATTGTTTAAAGCACCTCGATCTTCGCACAGTTTAAAAAACTGAAGAAACATCCGCAGGTACGTTTTCACCCAGGTGGGGGGGTGTCTTCGTTGGCCGGAGACCCCCCACCTGGCTCCAGCCCCCTGCCTTACTGTACATTGAAATTGAGGTGTGTGGTTCCCTTAGAGACAGTGGTTAACACATTCGAGATAATGCGTGCGGAACTGAATGCCACATGCCACACGCCCACCTAGGTATGAAAGCCTAAGAGGTCAGGTTAAAGGTATGTAAGACAGTTTGACTATAGACCTGAGAGTCTTCACATCCAAAGTCACGAACACGAAAAGATCGGCAAGAAGTCGACCGGTGAGCGCTTGACTGCCAATGGTGAACCGCTGCAATGGCTGGAAGATTGTTCTAGTTAAGAACGGGACCAAATAGGAATTTCTCCGGTCTGACTGCAGTTACACAGGGATGATCAGTCCCTGCTTCCCACTCTCGCCCACAGCTTCTTTGCGTGTGGTAGGACGAGAGTGCCACACGCCCCTGCTGAACAATATCAAGCTCAAAAGTAACAAATCAAAACTCGAAGAGTAAGAAAACAAATCAAAGGATATCAAAGGATTCCTTATGACTCCAAGGGTTTCATACAGACACACACAGGCACGTGCCAATCTTGTGTTTTGTCCGTATGAGACAACATTTCAAGCTTTTGACATGCCCAGGACATCGAGGTCCAGTCGCCTAAGACCTCGAAAGTGAAGAAAGCGATTTGAATTTTCGCCCGCCAAGTGCACAACAGAGCCGCAAAAAGAGGACAGCAATGTTGTGTGGCCTTTCTTGAGATTTTTGCAAACCCCCCACTATCCATTCTCACTACCACTACCCTATCAGAATCCAGCTGGAGTGGTAATGCCCTCACCAAGCACGCGGCTGCGGGCAGAACAGGGCGGAGAGAAATTGACGCCTTGGAAGGATCCAGCTGGGGTTAAGAGACCCAGGTTCATAACCCAGCCTGAAGGCAGCCATTTGGGGTCTATTGGGGGCCCACTGCATCTTGTTTCAACCACCAAGCTGGATCCTTAGCACGAGGAGACTCACGAAAGTTCCCTTCTAATGCGGAGAGAAACCAAAAAAGGCACTTGAGCAAGGTCGCACGTTGTGGGACGATCCCTGCTGCTTCAAAGTTTGTGTTTAGCGAAGAAAAATATAAGAACGTCTCGGATAAGTGTTCATTTGCTACGAAGCAAGCCTTCCAACCGGGTGAGTTCTTGTTCTGATGAAACCTCTATGCAGCGGAACAGGGAGCCTTCTGAAGCTGAAGATCAAACAATAATTCACTTCGTTGCACTGAAAACAAGAGGCTAGTCATCAACCCTTTCCAACTTCTCTGTTTGATGGAACAGCATAGATCCATCCCTTTTCCGAAGCAGGGCCTGCTAATTGCGGCCAACACCCCCCCAGTTGCACATGTTACCTAAACATGCTCCTAGCGTCAAGAAAGACTCCGTCAATCATGTGTCTCCTTTTGTTAAGGCTTGATTGAGACTTCCCCCCTACCCTCCACCCAATTAATAGCGATGACCTCCAACCTGCTAGCGATGGCCTCTACCTAATAGCGATGGCCTCCAACCTGATAGTGATGGCCTCCAACCTGCTAGCGATGGCCTCCACCTGATAGGCCTCCAACCTAATGTTTGCTTTTCCTGAAGGCTTGAGACTTGCCCAGATCACCCCTTTCACTGAAAGAATTTTGTGCTGAGATCTACATCATCTACACCTGGTTGGTGACGGGGCCCAAAGCTCAGAGCATGATGCGATTTGAGTCACCCTTTTGAAATCAGGCAAAAGAGGTTGGACAGATCCATCTAGTCATGCACCTTTTGTAGCAGTGTCTTAGTCTTTGCATTTCCAGAGTTCTTTCGGTGCCCGAGGTTTGAGCAAGTTGAGATGATAGCCATCAACCCAGGGCAAAGTGGGTGGAGCACCTTACAACTGGTCTGAGACTTTTTTCTGGAAGTGTCAGGAAGTGTGGGTTGTGTAGCACACGTGGCCCTCAAATGGTCGCCGCAGACGTGGACGATAATTCATCATACTATTGGGGTTTGCCAACCGTCATGTTGCTGGTGCACCACCCATGCTATCCAATTTTTAGAGTGCAATAGACAACCCAACCTAGGTGGGCAAAAGGGCTGACCCCGACTTCTTGCAGAAGGTCTACAATATCGTGGAGGTGCCGGACTGTCCAATCGTTTCAGAGACGGTTTTGTTCGCGGGCTTGTTGGACACCAACCCCATGCTGCCCAGTTTTGCAAGTTTGTTGGGAGAGTCTGTGGGTGCTAGGGCCATGACCATCGTATGCAACTGGATCAGCTGAATGCCTACCACTTTGGACCGAAGTGCCCAAGGGACGGGAGAAGACGAGTTTTGCGGTCTATGCCAGCCATATGGGTGAGAAACGACTAGTTATGACTAGTTCAACCGACATCTACACGTTTGATTTTGTCCTGGATAGCACGAGCTGAGCTATTTGATTCACAGCAAACATGGATTCGATGGTCCCATTTCCCGGTAGATCAGTAGACATATTTATAAACAGCCTATCGGGCGACAACTTGCAGATGTGTTTGTTGTGCATCTCTGCATGACATAAACTCAACCTTTCTTAGGATTTTGAGACTTGACTCAGACTTCAAGCATTTATGTCACACCGGCGGGAGGTACTTAGTAGAGCTGGAAGTGGTGATGCCCGAGGCTTTCTGATTCTGGCGGGTGCAGCAGCTTGGGGTAAACCAATTAGAAGGTTTTCAGATTTGATGCTTTGATATGGTTTGATGATTTGGTCGTTTGGACATGTTCGGAGACGCTTTTGGAGCATCGACACTTTTGATGATTCTCTTCTATTTGAGTTTTCAACTTTTATTGAGAGGGCTTGGCCAGTTTTGGCAGACACCCTGTTTTCTATGCGGCACAGCTCTGAGTGCTCCAGCGCCAATGGGGTCTTTCGATGGGAACCACTGCATATTTGCACTTTGTGAAGATATACAGATCAATCAGCAAAAGGCATTTGATGGATGCAGGTGAGTGGATGAGCAATCTGGCGGTAGACAGATTCATTGCATCAGTCAGTCTATCATGAGATGGCTGTCAGGGTTGGAAACAAAGTCCAAGGGTGGATTGACAATTCCACAGCAAGACAAGCCGGTTGCTAATCTGTTCTGGAAGAATAGATACAAAAAAGTTCATCAAGGAGAGTCTAATCAACGCCCTTCACTTTCAACATGGCTGCGCGAGCTGCTATGCGTATGCCTGACATCCACGTGCACTATGGCAATGCTGATGCTGGGCAAAAACACGGGCCAGGAACATGTTCTTGCTGCACGCACTGACCCAGGCAAATCAAGGTTTGAACCCGCTAGACATCCTTCTTTTTTTCACTTTATCCGCTGATGATGTGGTGAAGTGCAATTAAGGTGGTTATATATCCAGGTCTTTCTTGGAATTTAATTTGTATTTTTTTGTTTTTGTTCTGTCCGTAAATTGAGGGCGAAAATTGAGAAGGGCGGGTGGTGATCTGGGAGAACTTGGTCTGACTCTGTGGCTGACTTGGAGGATGGGTCAACTGCAAACGGATCGGTAGGTTTGTTCCCCCCCGACCACCAATCCCATCACATTTTCTCCCAAAGTGGCTGGTACTGACTGCCTCCATCTTACTTGAACAACAGCCCCCCTTATTCTATTTATAGCGATGGCCTCCAACCTAGAAGCGACGCCCTCCAACCTATCTTATTCCGGACTCACGCCCTCATCAGCATTCAAGAGGCTGCTGGCATATGCAGTGGGAAGCCGGTGCACGACACGGGAACGATGATTTGGCAACGCTCCACAAAGAGCGGAGAACACTCAAGTCGAACAGGCATACTGAACCAGGAAATGGCGGTGAGGTGCACAGAGCTAAATCACCACGACCTTTGCTTAGCAACTTTGCCTTCTCAAACATCGACACTTATTGGGCATTGTCCTAAACTTTCAGGCACTACCCCACCTGTTGCACAAGCTACGTGACCAGACAGGCAGATGCATAGTTCAAGAGCAATAGATGCTGCAGCTGCTAGAATTTGGACAACGTATTAAACCTGCTTGACGAGTGCATGTGTTTGGCAGCGTTACATCAATAAAGCCTCTACTGGTAGCGAAGGCTCCTTCCCACACCTCACTTTGATGTTGATTCCCCAAATGAGTTTCTGTGAAGCATTTGATATCATGTTGCATTTGGGTTTCACAAAGCTCTCCACTGGAACCTTCAAAAGCGTTTGCATCTTTAGGACAGCAGCTCGGAGGACCTGCTGGCGTCTGACTCGGAGTAGGTTCGGCCTAGAACTGTGAGAGTTGAGCTTGTCGAAGGATAACATGAGGCATACTGCAGATGCTGGTTTGAGGAGCTTGTATTGGGTGTGTTGAGACTGAAACTCCACTATCTCGAGTATGGTCGATCTTTGCTGCTTTGAAGGGGGGTTTGCATAAGGTACCGCATTCTTCCTTTGACAATTTGCTTTCCCCTCTTTGTCAATAGCCACAAGGATATGAATATGGGCTTGTGGCAGCCATGTTTCCTTGTGCCTTGTTTACGGGCAAGTTTGCGAATCTGGAACAGGTCTGAATATTGTTTGTGGCCTTGCTGCACTCCAGACATCAGCAGCTCATCAACATATCAACGAAAAGAAGATCCTGACAAGACCGAGCAACACGCATAAGTTGACAGCGTTTAACATGAACAGAATCCAAGACAACCGATACACAGAAAAGAATGATCTAAACAAAGCCACATAGATCCGAATCACGACCTGAAAGTTGGGATCACCCTGTGAGGCTGAAAGATCCTTCTTAACTCTTTATCCTTCGGAATCCTTGGCTTCTTCTTTGCATTTTACCACAGGACTCCAGTGAGGAGCTCAGCCTTCAAGCTCATGAAATGCAAACCGCCCAGCTGTCAGCTGGACCAGCGCCTCAACCGATTGTAGAAGATGGGGTTAGGAGACGGTGAGAGAAACCGGGAGGCGGATTCAGGATAAGACCCAAACATCCTCTTATCCTCAACAAAGCAATAGATATAGGCTGTTACGCAGTAATAGTGTGTTTTGTAAACGTAGCAATAACGAATGAGGGTTACTGAAGGAGTGGTTGTGCATCCGTTGGCCATTTTGGCTGCAAGTGGCCAACCCCCCACACACATTTTGAAGTTGTGCGTGAGCCATGGAGGGTACCCCCAGTGATGGGGAGGCTGTGGCGGGGGGGTTGGCTACGATCGTGTTGGACGAGGAGACCGAGCCCGAGACGCTTCAGGAGCTGGCAGGCAGAGTCCGAGAGGTGGAGGCCATGAGAGTCGAGGACATGGCATGCCAGGCTGATGCGGTCGAGAGCCCAACGGAGATCTTTGGTGATGAGCAGCCAGATGGCCATGGAGAGGAGGTCAATCCCCTGAAGCTGAAGCAGGCTGCGGATGCGGCGGCTGCATCTAGCTCCACGGCAGGGCCTCCAGAGGCCCACATGGAGATTGACAAGGACGAGTATGGCATGGTAGAAAGTGAGAGGCGGAAGTTGAAGAGATTCATCCCTGAGTCACTACGCATGCCTTGGGAGCGCGGCTTTGCAGGAGTGGTACTGGGTGGGGCAGACAGGCACCTACAAGTGAGTTCCTTGATGGAAGCAACAAGGAGTGCAAAGTTCATGGAGATTGAATTTGAAAAGAAGAAGGTTGAGCCAAGTGAAGTGAAGATCAAGCCCAGCTTCGTCATCAAGGACAAGGAGAGGTTGCCTTGGGACCGTGCCCAGTCAGAAGAGAGGGAACGCTTGCTGCTCAGTGCAATGATGCTATACGTTCGCTGGGCAAGAGCCAAGGGGCTGGACCCATTCCCCCTCCCGGAGGATCAGTGCTATGCCTATGTAGACCAACTACGTCGTGATGGGGCGCCGGCTACAAGGGCGAGCAGCTTCCTTCCGCAGTGCCCTAGCTTTCTGCAAGGGCACAATCCAGTTGTGGGGGGGTGGACGAGATCCTACAAAGTGGTAGGATTGCGGGTTCAGCTCACAGGAGCTTCTTGACGAAGAGGGCCCTCGGACGGCGTGATGCATTGACAGTTCATCAAGTGTCCGTGCTTGAGCGTGTGGTGTGTGGCGAGACATTCCCGCTGCAAGACCGCATATTTGCAGGACATTGCCTGGTTTGCATCTACGGGCGGCTGCGGTTTGGTGACAGTCAAGGGATCCAGCAGGAGCCTGTGGTCGATGGTGGCTACTTGGAAGGTGGGACGTCCACCCACAAGACAGATTCCATCGCGGGCCGGGCGTGTCGGATCCTCCCCGTGGTTGCACCAGAGATTGGAGTGTCTGGAGTGGCATGGGCAGCCATGCTGCTGAAACTCAGAGAGTTGGCTGGGCTGGGGGCTTCCTGGCAGGCCATTCCTGCCGACCCCAGTGCCGGGCGGGGGTTGGAGCTCAGCGAAGTTGTCCACGTCTGAAGCATCAGTGTGGCTCTGCGAAGTGCTGAAGAAGTACTCCCTCAACCCAGCATTGGACAATGTCGGTGCGCATTCACTCAAAGCCACAGCTCTGTCCTGGTTAGCCAAGTTCATGGCTCCTGAGAAGATCAGGCGGCTAATGGGGTACCATGTCAAACCGAAGGACAAGACAGTCTTGATCTTCTCGCGTGATGCGCTGGCAGCAGGGTTGCAGGTATTGACAAACATCATCACCAGCATCCATGATCGTGAGCCCAAGGAGAGGTGGCAGATGCATGAAGTCCCAACGCCAGACAAGAGCTCCTACAGGTTGGTGGAGGCAGATCAGTCCTCGAGTGATGAAGTTGAGTCAGTTGAGGAGGGCGCCGAAAGTGAGGATGAACGCAACATCGAGGCCGTGATGAACAGCCGCCTGGGGCCACCGAAGAAGTCGGTCTCAGACTTGTTTAGGCACGGCGTCACAGGCACCATCCATCACGGTTGCGCCGTGGAGGGGAGGCTCGCGTGCGGCAGGCCGATCTCCGGTGTCATGATCAAGCTCGAGGAGGATATCCACGCCCTTGGGAACAGGTGTAAAGTATGCGAGGGCTACCCAGGTGACAAGTACTGGGACAAGTGGAGTGCAGAGAAAAGTGAAGCAGTGTGTGCGAGGGCAAGCAGTAACGGGTTCAGCTAGCCTGTATGTTTTCCATGCATGAGTGAGCATAGTCAAGTGAAGTAAGTGGAGTGAAGTGTTTGCTTATCACCAAGTGGCCCACAGTCTCGAACCAGGGATGGAGGTGAGGTGGTAGGTTTGGAGGCTATCCCAATCTGGACCGTCATAAGTAGCCAAGTGGGGTGCCCAAGTGAGTGAAGTCAACCGGTGGGAGTAGTTCCCACGAGCGGCCTGCAACCGGGAAGTCCGGATCAGGTCAGAAGTGGGCAGGGGCGTCCTGTCGATGGAAGTGAGTGGCAGAGGACTGACGGGAGTTGAGAGAGTGTCAAACGTGAAACGTCGGGAAGATGAGACACGTCGGTCGCATCAGAGAGAAGTTGGAGGTGTGGTAGTGTTTGATGTGAAGAGTCAAGTATGCAAGTCGAGAGCGACTCGCGCAAGAGTGGGCTCGAGGGTGAGGCCAGGCGCGAACCGATTTGAGCAATGGCCACACTCACAGAGTCGACGGCGGTCTTTGAAGCCAAGTTGAAGGACTCCGTCGGACTTAGGCCTCGATGGGTACCAGGCAGAGATGAATAGGCGTGGGTGGAGCACTCTATCCACGTTCGCCTTTGCCAGCAGTTGGGCACCTGGGTCAGGAGACGATGGAGCATTCATCACGCAGGTGGTGACCCCAATACTGGGTCGAGCTGACCATCCTGATTTACCCAAAGTCCGCAAGTTGTACCACGAGGCCTACACAGTCGTTGCTGCGGAGTTGAGGCAGCGGCTTGAAGGGACGCAGGAGCCCGACGGCTCGAAGACGAGAAAGCGTCCGGCAGTCGAGAGGAAGACCAGGTGGGCGCAACTGCGAGCAACCTATGGGCATTTGCAGATCAACGATCAGCTGGAACCTGCCCACCGCGTGTCGATAAGTTCCACTCCATGAAGGTTGATGGGGAGCTCAAGTACATGGCACCTCATGAGATCCCAACCAGGGATCAAGAGCTTCAGAACATCAAGACGGAGGAGCTGATCAAAAGGGATGCCAGTGGTCACCTCAGGGCTCATGATGAGGTGAAGATGCCGGACGCGGACACCAGGACTGACCTCAGGCTCAGGCAAGCCTAACCCCGTCCCCCTAATAATAAACACGCCCCCCCCTATTAAAAAAACCTCGGTCGCAATTTTTTTAAATAGGGGGTCCCTGAAATCGGGGGGGGCCCAAAACAGTGTCACTTGGAAAGAGTTTCAAAACCAAAAAGTAATCCAGGAAAATTTTATATAAAATCCTTTATTAAACTCGTATCAAAAATGCAAAAAACCGCCAGATCGAAGGGTCTTCCTTTTCCCCTACAAAAACCTTCATTAGAATAGTGATTCTTCAGTAGACTAACAGCTAAAGCTTTCGAAAGGTGATGTCGCTGTGCCATGCGGTGTTGCATGACCTCGGTGGCAAGTGCGTTTGCGTGAGTCCGTGCCATTGAGGGAAGGAAAGCCTGCTGGTGCAAGCGCGGCGTGTCATGGTGGAGTTTTGGGGAACCTAATTAAAAAAAACTACCCCCAAAATCGACCATGTTGGTAGTTTAGTAGCGGTTTGAAAGGGCGGCAATTTAAAACCAAATATAAACCGAATTTAGGGGATCCGGCATGACTTTTTTTTAATTGGGGTCCGTTTTTTAATAGGTACTCGGGATTACGAGGCGAGGCCTGGCTCTGGAAGTGGCAGACGTGATGACCTATACACGGCGCGCGAGAAGCTGGTGGACAAGCTGTTCCAGGAGTATCAAAGGGAGCCGCCAATGGGATACAACCAGGTGACGCTGGGGCAGCTTACAGCGGCCGACAGGCGAGCCTGGAAGTTGATGAGTGAGGAGATCCAGGGTGACCTTGGCAGGAATCCAGCAGGCTGCAGGCTGGCAGATGTGGCGCTGGGAGAAGGTGATTGCCGAGCCGGCGTTCGTGACGCTCCTGTTGCCCCTGCCAGGGGGGCAAGTCGAGCAGCGCCAAGGAGGTGGGCAAAGATGGGCCTGCGGTGGAGCCGGAACCCACGGGGGCAGGGAAGAGGAAGCTGATGAAGGAGAACCAGAAATTGAAGGAGCGCCTGAAAGAGGCGGAGGCCAAGAAGAAGAAGCAGGAGGTGTACCAGTACGAGGAGGACCGCTCGGCAGCACCCAAGAAGATGCCCATCAAGATGCCAAAAGAACTTTGGGGCTTGGCCCCATGAAACTGGGGGAGCGCATTTGCTACGGCTTCAACATGACGACCTGCAAGGCAAAAGATGGCAAATGCAGCAAAGGGCTCCATATTTGTATGCGCTGCTGGAAGTCTGGGCACGCGGCAGTCAACTGCCCTGGGCAGTGACAAGTGTCCGACGCAGCTAGCGCTGAGTTGGAATCGGGAGGAGCTAGGAGACCTCGCACAGATCCCGGTACTTGTACAAGCTTTTTCGCCAATGGGCACAGCTCTGATAAGCAAAGTCAAAATGTGAGCGGCGTAGTGCCGCAAACGTTTGAGTTATTTGCAGGGTCGTGCACGCTTTCTAAGTGTTTGAAGTTGCATGGATTTTCGTCAGTAGGGATTGACCACAAGAAGTGTAAGAACCGAGTAGGACCACGTATAGTGCTAGACCTGTCTAAAGTTAGCAGTGCAAACTTCATCAAGGACAAGATCGACCGCAATACAGTCTTCTTCATTCCCATGGCTCCACCGTGTGGAACTGCATCACGCGCAAGGGACAAACCCATCCCACTATGGCTTCGGAAACGTGGAGTGCCGTCGCCGCCCCCTTTGAGGAGTGAGGACTACCCCACTGGCCTGCCGGACCTCGGAGGGCAGAATTTGGTTAGGGTTGAGCTCGCCAATGCATGCTACGAGACGGCCGCCAATGTTTTTCGCCATGCGCATGGAAGCCAAGTGTTTGCCTTCATTGAAAACCCCAAGAACAGTTACATGTGGATGGTTCCTTGCATCGCAGCATTGTTCCAGCTGGACGGAGTATATTTCACTGTGTTTCATGCGTGCATGCGCGGGGGCACGCGGGACAAGCAGACAGCCCTGTTACACAACTGTGCAGAGTTGTGCAAGTTAGGAGCGCGGTGCGATGGTAGTCACACGCATCAACAATGGGGAGTCAGCAGGTCACTAGCTGGAAGTTGGAAGTTTGACACTGCCGCCGAAGCGGAGTACCCATGTGCCAACGCATTGCAGTGATCATAAGTCAAGTTGCCATTGCCAGAGGTCATACCATGATCCAAGTTGAGCCCCGTGCCACTCCGCTTGCTGCCCAGGCGTCCGCTCAATGGCGAGTTGCAGCAGGCAGGCAGCCAGGGGCCGTCGAGCGGTTCCCATGCTGCCTGAGGACGTGCAGGTGGAAGCCCACCAAGTGCGGAGAGCCCAGAAGTTGCAGCGCCCCTTTGATTCCTCCTTCCAAGTTCAGGATCACACATCAGGTGCGATGTTCCAGGTTCTGACGAAAGGCACAGAGGCCATCCACGAGGAAAGAATCCAGAAGGTGAGATGGATGAAGTTGAGGGTTATATAAGCAGTTGGAGGGGCAAGAAGAGGTTTTGGATATGACTCTTGAGGCAAAAGTGGCAGAGGTGTTGAGGCCAAAGAAGTTGTTGTTGCTGGATGAGCTCATCAAGCAGGTGGGATATGGGGATACCAGTCTCGTGGAGGACATCTGCAAGGGCATGGCCATCACCGGAGAGGGGCGGGACACGGGTTGTTTCGCACCTGAGTTCAAACCCCCCTTGCTGGACGAAGAGGACCTGTGGAGGGGGGCTAAATCCGCCCAAAGTGAGGTGCAGAGTAAGATCCCTATGCACATGGCTAGAAGAGAAGTTGAGGTAGGAGGCCGCACCGTTGACATCGCCCAGCAAGTCTGGGAGGCCACGATCAAGGAGGTGGAGAATGGGTGGCTGGAGGGCCCCCCTGATTTCAGAGCAGGTCCGAGAAAAGGTTGGGCCCTTGTGGGCGCCAAGGCCACAAAGTAAGGAACATTGATGACCTCAGTGAATTTTCTGTCAATCAGTGCTACGGCCCAGGAGAGAAGCTCGACCTAGGCGGCGTAGACGAGGTAGTCTCGTTAGCTGCAGCGTGGATGAGGGTCCATGGGCATCGGGATGAAGGGGTCCGGGTTCAGGCCTCGTGTTGGAGGGGCCTAAAGCGCCGGAGTTGAGAGGGAAGCGGTAGGTGATTGGACTTGAAAGCAGCTTACAAGCAGTTGGCGCTCGCTCCCACGGACAGAGGCAATGCAGTCATTGCGGTGCTTGATCCCAGTGACAGTGGAGTGAAATTATTCGTATCATGTGTTCTGCCTTTTGGAGCCACGGGGGGGCAGTGATGGCATTCAACAGGGCTGCAAGAGCGTTGCAGGAGGTTCTTCAGAGGTTTTTGATGTTGCCAGTGGTCAATTACTTTGATGATTTCCCGCATGTTGACGTTGAGGGCATGGCAGTGAGGTCCCAGGTTGTCATGGAGGAAGCCATGCGTACCCTGGTGCCGAGGAACAGAAGAAGCGAGCTCCTCCCGCACAGAGTTTTGTCGTCCTCGGGGTGGTGATCGACCTGGGGAGGGTGAGTGAAGGTTTAGTCCTAGTGAGGAACAAGCCGGAGAGGGCAGATGAGCTGGATGCAGTGGTCCGGGAGCTAGCTGACCTGAAGTCCTTTCCCCCGTCCAAGGCAGCAAAAGTTTACGGCAGGTTGAACTTTGCCGAGGCACAGTGCAGTGGAGATGGTTGGCACCCACAGAGAGCATTGATGGGTAAGTCAGTGAAGTTCGTGACCCCTGAGATATCCTCGTCCTTGGACTTGGCTGCGCACCTGCTCAGGAATGCTCCTCCGAGAAGGCTGAGGGCACTGACGGACGAGCGGCCGTTTTCAGCGATGGGGCGTACGAGGGAGGAGTTGCGTCGCGTGGAGCAGTGGCTTTATCCCCTAGGAGTGGCGTTCGGCTTCATCGCCCCATGCAATAATAGTGGATGGTTGGCACTCCTTCGGTCACGAGCAAGTCATTACACAAGCGGAGATGATGCCAGTAGTCATTTGCAAGAGGCAGTTTTCACATCTGCTTCGTGAAGCCAGAGTCCTCTTCTTCATAGATAATGAAGGGGTGAAAGAGGCGTTTGTTTCGGGCTCAACAAAGTCTAAAGCTAGCAGGCGTATGTTGGTTGAGGCTATGATCCAAGACGCAAAGAATGATAGCTTGACTTGGTATGCTCGCATCCCGTCCCCGAGCAACGTGGCAGACGCACCGTCCAGACTCAAGTGGCGAGAACTAGAAGCGATGCTGGAGTGCGACATCATCCAAGCGGAGATCGACTACGAGGTATGGGGTGAGTTAGGCGGGTTGTCTGAATTCGATAGTGTGTCCGAAGTGGTTCAAATATGTATAGTGATAAGTGGTCAGTGGTGGTGCAGAGTATCAATACTTATGACAGCTAAGCTGTCCCGAGAGCATCCCCAGTCGTGGAAAAAGAAAGGAGTCCGTGTGTTTGCACAACTTGCGGAGTGACGAAAGCAGGCTGTTACGCAGTAATAGTGTGTTTTGTAAACGTAGCAATAACGAATGAGGGTTACTGAAGGAGTGGTTGTGCATCCGTTGGCCATTTTGGCTGCAAGTGGCCAACCCACACACATTTTGAAGTCCCACCCTCACCGCCCCAAGACCCCGGGTAGTCCGGGGTAGGGTGTGTGGGGGATGCCCTTCCGGGTACCCAGTCGGGTGAAGTAGCAAGGGGGGTGAGTTAGGCGGGTAGTCTGAATTCGATAGTGTGTCGGACGTGGTTCAAATATGTATAGTGATAAGTGGTCAGTGGTGATGCAGAGTATCAATACGTATGACAGCTAAGCTGTCCCGAGAGCATCCCCAGTCGTGGAAAAAGAAAGGAGTCCGTGTGTTTGCACAACTTGCGGAGTGACGAAAAGTAATTAAAAAGCTACAACAAAGACATGACACAACCAATAAAGGTCCCTCAATATGTCCCGCTTTGAAGGGCCCTTATTAGCGGGGTCCGTACATCCTTTCTTTCCATTTTGTTTTGTTTTCTTGCTCTTCAAAGCCTTTTTTGGTTGACCAAACCTGTGCTAGCGACTGCTGATCAGTCGGGGCCTTTGGGTCTCTTTTCCAGGACGAGGGACCGCTTCCAGTGCAGGGGTTGTTTGGGTACACATTTGGCACAGCTTTATAGACTGTACTTGCGTGATCTTGAGTGGTCATATCGTTCAGGGACACTTGCCCACACACACATATATATATATACATATTTTATAGAGTTCATTGACCGGCCATTTTGGAAGTGTTTTGAGTCCGGACTCGCAATGATCATTGGTTTTGCTTTAGAATTTGGAACATGGTGCTGGAGTGCTGGAACAACGATTCAAAAGGGGTTTAAGAACCTTGGCTTCCTCAGGCAGCAGTTCAGTTGTGTATTCTGAGGTGTTCAACACAGTTTTGGAAGAGTCCTTGCTTCCGGATGTTCAAGAAGAGCGATCTGATGGATCAAGCCTGGTCGAATGGAAGCAGCCCTCGGGGATTGGAGAACACCACTGAGATGGATGCATTTCAGATTCAGGTCTTAAGTCTCCAGACAAGAACATCGGAAAATACTCCACTACCCCCACGTGCAAGTGCTGTTCCGGGTCCTTTGCCCCTCCTCGCAGTTTGATCCTGTGTGACCTTTATCATTGAAGTTTTCTCAAGAGCAGTCCAACCTTTGTGTGTCCGCTCCTTATTTGACCGGTGGCATCATTATGAACCTAGAGTTGTATCAGGATCTGATTTGGTGTTGGCAATGGTCTCAACTTCAAGTGGCATTTCATTCGGAGTGCCTCATTCAAGCTAGGAATGCAGCTACTTCAGCATCAGATGCCAAAGGGGTTAAGGTGCCAGGGTTCATGTGCCAAAGGTCTTTTGCTGGGATGCCCCAAGATCTCTCAATTGTGTGATATTTGGCACCGGTTTAAGAAACAAGCAAGCAAGTAAGGGTCTCAAATTCTTGTGCTGTGCATGCTCAAACAGTGATTGCTCTGCACTTGCAGCATTGCAGCTGTGTACTCAGCTGCTCATCTACTTGACGGTCTATCTCATTCGTTCCCTGTGTTGTCATCCCTGAATTCGACTAAGCTGAACCATGACCACATGGATTGTACGCACCCCCTACCTCGCAGTTCAACTAGAACATGCCCCTACCCAATGTCTGAAAAAGCGATGAGAGGATACACTATCAAGAAGTTTGCCGCGACAACTTCATCACCTCGCTGCCAAAAAATCGTAATCGGGGCACCAGCACTCATCACTTTTGGCGCTTTTCCATTTCTGCCCAAGAACTAACTTGTAGGCTCGACGACTCCAACGAATATGAATGAACAAAGCGATCGTAAAGCTATAACAGGTGTAGACGGCCTTTTGAAGGCCGTGGGTTTTTACCTGAATTATGATACCAATACTACAAGTGAAGGAAGACTATATACCCGCAAGGAAGGCTTGCCTAAACGCTTTCTTTCCCGCCAGGAAAAGGAGGGGACCTCGATGCACCCCGGAGGTGGGCGAGCGGACATTGTTGAAGTCAATTCGGTATAAGTGGGATACTTCACTCCTGCCGAGCAAAAACTCGAGGAATTGAAGGTTGATTTTGCAGACTGATTCCACCGGTAACCATTGTGAGTGCGAGCTGCAGGTGAAAGCCTTGACGATCTCTTTTCTCCTCTTCGGCCTGATAACAGTCGTGCAAGTCTTTGCCGCGCAAATTGCACACTCCAGGCAGGCTGGCCAAGTTGCAGCAAGGAGGGGCGTTTGACGTTCATGAATGGTAGCGAGTCGGAGTGACCAAGAGTCGAGCTCTGGCAAAGTCCTGGACATGGATTTTTTCAATCTGCTGGAATGCAGCGGAATGTGCAATCCTGCTAGCTGCTAGCCTGCCAGGGCTTTGCTGATGGACTGTATCTCCATGGGCGTGGACTCGCTGACATACCTTGGACCTTTGTCGATAACCTTTGTTGGAACCAGGGTGCTCTGCTACTACTAGTGCAGACCGCTGGGTTATTTTATATACATAAACAGTACATGAGTTGGCAGCCTCTCAGTAAAAAACATGTGAGAAACACTGAAGCTGCAGCTCGTGTAGAACCTCCAGCAAAGGCAAAGGAAGCCAGCCGATCCAGACTTTCAAAAGCATGTCACTTTGAAGCAAACCTCTGTCGACAGGCCTTGCGAGCCTTGATCCAGGTGGAGCTGTGTTTCTTTTGGCATAGCATTGAATTTGCCAGCCAAGGAAATATTGTGGTGGAGTGCCGGAGGAGAGATGGCCGAGAACATGCGATCTCGCAGCTGATCATTGTGGCTATCTCCTTGAGAGCCTTTCCCGGAAGACAACCGATGTGGGATATATATGTATCTGTATATACAATTTATAATATGTAATATATATATATACTGTATATACACACATTAGCGGGGTGCGGGGTCGAGTTTACATTCTCCCATTGGACACCATTCTTTTCACTCATATCAATGAGAAGGTTTTGTTTTTTTTTTCAGCCAAACTAGTTAGTGGTTACATTGCTCGGAAGCTGCTTCCCCAAACGGTACAGTGCTGCCCACCCTGATATGTAGATGTGCCAGACTTTTGGATTGTTTATTTGCAGTCAGATGTTTATTTTCATTTTATTTGGGGACGAGGGTAGCTCTACCAACTCTGAGCCGGAAGAATCTTCACAGAGGGTAGACCGAGAATCGGGCTTTCCGAACATGTTCCACAGTTTGTTGAAAAGTGCAAAGAGAAACGCCACAGACGGCAAGCAGTCAGCCACTGACCCTTGGCACATCCAGATGTTCCATAGCCGAGGCCTCCTGTGCTATTTCACATCAGATGCTATGCAGGAGAGCTGGGAGACGGTGTTGGTCTGTCAAGGAAAAGCCTCCGCTGATGGAGACGAGGAGGTGAATGGCTGGATCACGCTTGGCTTTGCCCTGGGTGGCGTGGCATTCGACGTCATGTGCCTGATCCAATTCTACAAGAGCAACAAGAAGACTAGCATTGTCTCAATGCCTTTTGCTGATTTCCCCGCAAGTTTTAGCGCTGACCCTGCACCATTTCTTGAGTTTCAGAGTTTCTCACCATTTCTAAGGAGAACTGGAAGCGGAAGAAGTGTGAATATATTTTCGGCCTTTCTGCATGTCAGTGCAGATTTCCTTCGATCCAGCGCAACACTGGTCATGTCACTGATTATCCTCTTTGGTCAAGTGGACTCCACCTGCATTGACGCTTATTCTAGCATCTTCATCGGTGTAACAATCGTCGTTGGCGCCTTTGTTGGCTTCTTCAAGTGGCTGAAACTACTTGCTTCACTCTGCTGTTGCAAGGATGATCTCTGAGCAAGTGGGCTGCACAAGCTTTACTTGAATCAAGTCTTTCAGAAAGAGAACAAACGCTTACTACATAAACACTTATATAAACTGCTCTCCAGATACACAGTTTCAGATTTCACTTTTTTATACTCAATGAGAACAGCGCCATCTTGATGAAACAATTGCTTCTCTGCCTCGGGATTTGGACTGTCTTTGAGGAACAGCTGAAAGCAATCAAACCGCTTGTTGGGTTTGGCAACTTTTCCATACGTACCATTTTCCCATTCATGCACCTGCTCAATGCCAGTGATAGATCTTCTGAAAACGCATCTGGTGAGCTGCCTTATGTTTCAACCTACTATTGTCCATTCTTGATTCAGCTTGTCCAGCTGTATATACATGCAATGGCCGATCCTGCAATTGGAGTGGCCTCATTTTATCCGTCGGAAGCGCGCAGCTCGATGATGGAGTCAGGAAAGGACGGAATGGTGCCAACCCATGGGGTACAACTTCGAAGAGTTGCAAAAACCCAGTAGATGTGGCCTATGGGCTTGACAGGGCAAATTGCCGAGTGTCTCTACAACCTCATGTTGATTGCACCCCGTGGTCATAGTCCACTTCCCAATGGATACGAGGTTGAATCATGTGTAGCATGCATGGATGGCTTTATATAAATCAATCCAAGATGCAGGGCCGGCGGCAAACAGATCAGTGGATCCATGAAGGATGCCCCACTTTGGAGTTTTGATTCGGTGGAACCTAAGGGCATAAAGGGAGTCCATGTTTCTCATTGTTTCTCTTCCAAGAGCAAAGGTCTTCGAATCGCACTCACCTGCTCCTCCCCGCTCCTGCAGTCCACGACATTGAGAGACAGTCACGACTGCGGCATCCTCCTACAGCACAAGATACCTGGCTTTGCTATGCTTTGCTCAGTATTTACTGTCCAGCTAGTTTGCCTGAACTTTCGACTTCAAAATACTGTATAGATGTCTTTAGTAATTAAGATTCTTTGCCTTTTCGAGACTATGAGTCCTCTCATCTTTGGCCTTGGGACCTTCGAACGATAATGGCCGCTCAGGATCGAGATGTTGGAGGCCTTGTTCGTGCCATGTTGGTGATCGGGCAAGCTGGACCCTTCGGAGCAGAACCACCAAAGCTGTGAAAAGCACCTTGAGTGTTTGAGGTGTTTGTGTTGGCTGCGACTAGTGACTAGTAAAAGTTTCATCGCAGGAGAAATCTCAGAAGGCTATCATCAATCAACAATCCCAACATGCAAAGTCCTAACAACTTTGTTTTCCTGCAGGGCTTCGGAGTATCATCTATATCATTGACATCAACCATCGTTCAAAGTATGGTGGTGATAAACCTCGTCGGTACTTGAAATACGTATTATATATATATTATATATATATATAGTTTGGATGTTTAAGATGAGATCGTCCAGCAACTGAGCACACGCAAAGGTCAAGCTTCGGGGAAGTGCAATAAATACGTCCACCCTGCTCTTCCAGCCAGTTGGAATCAGATTGCACTTGCAAGCACTCGGTGAACCGATCAGCCGGCAAACCCTCTTCGTTGCAGGGTGTATCACAGACAGCCCTTTGGTGGGTGGCCACTAAAAAGCACAACGCTAGCTGGCCATTCAGCAAACTCTTTCCAGCCTGGCCAGGAGGTTGAGCGCTGCTTCGTCCACATTGATTACCAGCAACAGCCTCAGTTTGGTGACCGAGGGATGGGTGGACACCCCTCAAGGGATTCTTATCAGGTGAGGGAAGTCAGGTTTCATTTGGTTTCCTGACAAGGCCCTAAATTTGACATAGTCCATCATAGTCCTCACACAGACACAGACACAGACACCGACACACACACACAGGAAAAAGCACACACACACACACACCTCTTTTCAATTCTTTTCACACATTTTCCGTTACGTGGCGAAATTTTTCTGTTTCTCTTCAAGGTCGGTGCACTCCCGTGCGACAGACATCTCTTGGGGTACCTGTTGATGTTGCAAGGAGCACCGCATAGTGGAGCAAGAAGCTACTAGTAAAGAAGCAACTAGGGCTCCTGGTCTTACTACTAGGAGCAAGGACGCTACTAGGAGCAAAGGGCATCGCTACTAGGAGCAAGAAGCTAGCATAAAGCTTTGGCGACGGCATGTGCGGCTACAGGATGCGCCTGCACGACGACCATGATCCAGAGGTGCCGATCGATGCCAAGGCAGACCGGGGCAGCGAGGTCATGTGGTGACCGGGTGGCCACCATAGCCAGCATCTGATGGGTCCGCAGACTGATGTGGAAACATCACTCGACTCAAATCTGTTGGGTTCTCTTGGCACCTATTTTGCCATTTTGCTTGCCTGCCTCACGTGGATCCATGGGCCGCAATGAGGTTGTAGAATATGGCAACGTGAGAAGAACTTTGAATCTTCGCCTTTGCAAAAGGTCCAGAAAGCCATTGCGAACATAGAATCGAGCACACCGAAGAAACATTCCCACTCAAAAGAACATGTCAACGCCTCTCACAAGTCGTGACCCCTTCGGATCAAGCTGCGTGACAAAGGCTTTCAAAAACAGTCTTTCGGAGTTGCACTCTGTTTGCCAAAGCTGGCTTGATTGAAGTCTTGTGGAAGTACTAGGTTGTTCGCAGTGATTCTTTGCGAGTCTGCATGGAAACTGAATACACATGAATTCTGAATACACACAGAGCTCGAATTGATATGGGAAAGTCAAATTTGAGTTAAGTCATTTGCGAATCCCTTCGTTGAATCCCTTCGTCCTGCGACGGATGGCCAGTTGTATGGTGGGCTTTGCCGCAGTTCTCCACGCGCCGAGGGTGCGAAACTGGCGTTCCAAAGGACGGATGAGATGGGAGTGACTCCACATCCGAGTCCTGCGAGACCTCAAAGCTCATCAAAGCTCAATAACTCCTTCAAACCACTTAGAGGCAGAGTAGATTTGAGGAAACCGCATTTGAGCATTGATCCTGATTTCACCCGAGATGTTTTATGGACGGCCGCAACATATATATGCCTTGAACCAATTTGGTAGCGCGAAATAGGAGTCTCGGCAGCCATATCGCCTTTCGTTGTTTCGTTTGGACGTGTCGGCCCCTTGACATCAGTGGTGACAGAGAGCTGTGCCTTTTCGTTGTGCCTTGGTGGACCCAGGGCGACTTTGGACTTGAGCGAGAAGCTGCGCCTACTTCGCTGTTCAGTCCTTTGGCTAGCTACTTGCTCAAGAACGACCTCACGGAGACGCTAGAGGATCCCGGCGGCAAGAAGGAGATCAAGACCTCTCAAGGACGACGTGAAGACCGAGTTGGTGCATGGGCGATGTCAGATGACAAGGACAAAGGTCATTGCTATGCAGGAGGTTGGCCCGAAAGTGGCTTTGATGGCAGCATCCCAATATGGGATGGTCGTGCCGACAGCTTGTGCGACTTCAAGCGCACAGTGACTTGGTGGCTTTGGAGCATTGATTTGTCAAAGACAATCTGGCCGCCAGGTCTGCGAAGAAGCAGAAAGGATCTGCTCATTTGAGAGCCTTGGAATTCACTCCACAGCTCCGTTTTGAAAACCCACAGACCAGATGACCTAGCTCTGCTACGCACTGCGGGAGACCGTCGACGACCCTGACAAGGAAGGTAATGTTCAACCTGGATTAATAAAGTACCCCAGAATAATGACTTTTTTCCTGCGCAGATTGATAAAGGCCCCCAGAATAATTCCCCAGATAGCGAAGCTATAGGGGTTCTTACTTCTCAATGGATGGGTTCCTGATTGCAGAAATTGGCTGCCGCTGCCGCTGCCGCCTTGTCTCCCAAGCTTGTCGCCCTTCATGATTTCCCTCTTGGCTGCCGCTGCCGGCTTGTCTTCCAAGCTTGTCTCCCTTCCTGATTTCGCTCTTGGCTGCCGCTGCCGCCTTGTCTCCCAAGCTTGTCTCCCTTCATGATTTCGCTTTTGGCTGCCGCTGCCGCCTTGTCTCCCAAGCTTGTCTCCCTTCATGATTTCGCTCTTGGCTGCCGCTGCCGCCTTGTCTCCCAAGCTTGTCTCCCTTCATGATTTCGCTCTTGGCTGCCTCTGCCGGCTTGTCTTCCGAACTTGTCTCCCTTCATGATTTCGCTCTTGTACCGCTGCTGCCTTGTCTCCCAATCTTTTCTCCCTTCATCATTTTGCTTTTGGCTGGGAGCCTTCTTCTTTGCGCAAGGGATCCGTACTTTCCAACTGCGAACTACGCAGGGCTGGAAAAGATTGGCTGAACAGCGCTTTTGCCATGGTGTCTAACTTTTCTTGAAATGCTATGTGGGGTCTATGCCGGTATAATGTATTTTTTTGATGAATAGATTTTTTGTTTTTCATTGTTAGACATTGTTATTTTTATCCTCTGGTTTATTGATTTTGAAGATCTTTGGATGCAGATTTCTATTGAAATTAAAAGATTTCCATTGAGATGTTTGGATTTTGAAGGTCTTTGGATGCAGATTTCCTTTGGGAATTGGATATTTCCGTTGAGATTTTTTGATTTTGAAGGTCTTTGGATGCAGATTTCCATTGACATTTAGAGATTTCCATTGATATGTTTGGATTTTGAAGGTCTTTGGATGCAGATTTCCTTTGGGAATTGGAGATTTCCATTGAGATGTTTTGATTTTGAAGGTCTTTGGATGCAGATCTCCATTGATTTCCATTGATATGTTTGGATTTTGAAGGTCTTTGGCTGCAGATTTCCATTGAAATTTTCTAGATGTCCATTGGGATTTGATGATTCTGAAGGTCCTTGGATGCAGATTTCCATTGAAATTTTCTAGATTTTCATTTGAAATTTGATGGGTTTGAAGGTCTTTGGACGCAGATTTCCATTGAAACTTGTGTTGTTTGTGTTTGTTTTGCTGGTGTTTTGGTGGTGTTTGTTTTCATCCCCTGTCTCCTGAAAGACATTTTAATTCTTTAGGCGATCTGGACCTGGAACAAGGTTCTTTGTATGTGCCTCTTTGCTTCAATAGTACTTCAAAGCTTTGCCTGGGTTGCACTGAAAAAACACCCAATGAATCATGGGATTCGTTCCACCTGCACTTGGAACACATGTTTCCCTTTGAGATGGTTGTTTCAATCTTGTACCCTGAATCCTCGCTCAAATGCTGCAGCTTGAAGTACTTGCTGTTGGTTTCAAGCATCTCTTGAGCTTTAAGGGCTGCAGCAGTGGTATGATTCTTCAACTTGCTGAGTTGATCCAATGCCTTTTGCTTTGCTTTCTCTTGCTGGTCTGAAACTTTTTTGGCCTTCTCTTCAAGGGTTTCCTTGCTTTCTTGAAGTTTCTTCTGCTCTGCTGCAAGTTGATGCCACCAAGCTGTAAATTTGGCCTTCAATGAGCCAATCTCTGGGTGCCCTTTGGAAGCCAAGCCTTCAAACAAGCTGCAAACCTCTGACATCATGTATGCAAGAGTCCAAAGCCCACACGTGCTTCCAACTTGCTGGAAAGAGTTGCAAGCCTTCAAAGAAACTGCAGGAGGCTGGCTATAATGGAAGCCTTCTTCCTGCAATCTTCTGGAAGGGCTGCTAGGGTATCCCTGTACCTGAAAGTTCACTTCTGACTCTTGTCAAGCCTCTCAGCTGTAAGTAGTGTCCAATGGAACAGTCTCATTGCTCCAAACTGGACAAAGAAGCAAGCGTGAACCTGATTCTTCAAGCTTTCAATCCTTTTCTTCAAGACAGCTCTTTGTGGAACACCCTCCCCTCTCAAATACATTGTGGCCAGAAATGGATCTATGAAGGCCACCTCTTTCATGTAGTCCTGGAATTGCCACCTCAAAAGCTCAAAGCCAAGTAGCATATGCTGAGACTCAAAGTTTTCATCATGGCTTGGAAGGTCTATCAAATCATCTCCATTGTCTGCAAAGGGTTCTCACTTCAAGCCAATCATGAAAAGGGCTTCACCGTTCCTCTGTCTAGCCAGTCTTCATCCTTTTTGATACTACTGGAAACTTTGCAACTCAACTTTTGGTGCTTGTCTGAAATGACTGTGCACTGCTCATCCCCATCCTTCCCCAAGAAAGCCGCTCTAACCATCCCTTCTTTGCCAGACTTCCCTTTTCCTTCACTTTCTTCAACAATTCTACAAAGAACCATCCCCCCCATCAGCTTCAACCATTGCTTCCTTCTTTGCCTGCCCTTTGCATCCTTCAATGCTGCTGGAATCATCTTGTCTGCTTCATGGAATTCCTTGTGGTCTTTAAGGTGTTTCTTTGCTACTTTCTTTGCTACTTTCTTCAAGAAGGATGGCTTTGTTTTTGCAGATGGCCTGAAGCTGAATTTTTTCTCTTGCTTGCATTGCTCTTGGCAATCACCTGTTCAATTGCCTCCTTTTTGCTCATTCCTTTAAGCTTCTCCCTGACGTTCTTCAACAAACCAGATCTGAAAGTGAACCTTGCTTCAAGTCTTGAAGCTTTTTCTTCGGAGACTCAGGTACTTCTTGAAACCTTGCATTCTTTTGAGCTAGAAAGGCTGCCTTCCTGACCTTTGGATGAAGTGTAAAAAATAAGGAATTCTTTAAACCAAGCCCCAAAGACTCTTCAATTGAACCATCCATGTCCACAGGATTGTCTTCCTCATCTTCAAGGGCAGGGTTTGTGTAAGCAGCCCAATCTAAAACTTGCTGAATTGTGGTTGCAGCCTGGCTCGAACTGAACTCCGGCTCCACTGGAAGTGGCTCCCAAGCTCCAGCTCCTTTGCTGCAAGTGGCTTCAAAGTCCCACTCTTCCAATCAGGCCTATAAATGACAAGTCCATTTCTGAAGGCTCCTCTAATCGCCCATGAGGTATCCAAGTTTCTCTTGACTGCAGCCTCTGGGCTTGAAGGGTGGCTTCAATCACTGTCCTGTAGGTGGTCTTGAAAGAGCTCTCCTTGCCTTCCTGCCTGTGAGAACTCCTTTTCTCTGCAAGAGCCTTCCTGAAATCAGCCTTGAAGGCTTTGGCAAAATCTGTGTCAGTCAACTGCAATCTTTGTGTTGTTTTTCCTAGAAGGATTGCAGCAGCTTGGTTTCCAATGGCCTGTGTCTCTGTAATCTCATCTGAAACGATGGCTGCAAAGGAGTCTCTGATCCAAACTGAAAGAGGCTCTTGTTCAATTTGTTCTTCAGTGACCCACTTCAGAAGAACACTGTCAAGGTTGCAGCTAGGCTGACTCATAATGTGAAGTTTGCCTTCAAACAGTTCAGGAGCTTCATTCCTCAAAGCAACAGCCCACTTCAAAGCTTTGGAAGGCTGCCCCTTCTCATGAACATTTTTTGTCTTGCAACCTCAAACTCCTCTCTTTTAAGCCACCTGCCTTTGCTGTCAAGGTTTGACAGTCTGGCATGCACTCCTGGAAATACAAGCAAACCTGCTGAAACCTTACCGTACCTCTAACTCCATCACTCCCAACAGGCAAGCCTACAATCCTTTGGCGTGCCTCATAAGTGATTCTGAATTTGGAGTTCTCTGCAAGCCCCTTGGCTGTCAAGCTGCCTGCAATCCTCCTTGCACCTGCATCCCTGGTGTTGCCTTCTAAGGCCACCACTTGACTGGAACCGTCCATTGGGTTGAAGAAATTGACAGCTTCAAGCAAATCTTTCCTGATAAGCTGAAACTGTTTCCTGTCTTCAGATGTGATGCCTGAAAGCTCTTCACTAGACACCACCATTTTTGAACTCTCAGACTTGGCCCAAAGTGGGACCTGGTCTGAAAAACCAATGGTTAGAAGTTCCCTGACTCCTGGCTTCAAGACAGACTTGGGATCTGCAAAGACATTGGACCTCAAAACATCTTCCTCAAGGAGCAGCGCCTGCAAGCCACAGCTGTCTGTCAATGGTTTGCCAAGAGGGTTGGCAACACGTTTTCTCCTCAAAAGAACTCAAAGGGCTTGTCAACTCCTTGTTGACCTCCTTTGTACCACAGTACTCCAAAAGCCTAGTGGTGAAAGACTATCTGTACTTCTTGCTTTCTAGAAGTTTGTCCCTTCTGGAAACGTAGTGCTTTGCTTCAATTGTCCAAGTTTTCTTCTGGACTGCACTCTGGGAAAAAGATCCCCCTTTGCAAGCGCAACTCTATTGGACCTCTCCTTCAAAACCATGGCCTTGACCTGATCAATCTCCTTCTGAAACTCCACCTTCCTGCCTCCACCTTTTGCCCTGACAAGCGTCGAGCCTACAATCTTGCCTTTCTTCAGCTTCAACTTCCCCTTCCGTTCCTCAAACTGCCCATTCTTAGACATGATGCGCTTCAAGGTCCTGGTGTCTAAGCCATACCTGGTTCTGCCTTTCTTGAAAAGTTCCCTGCTGCTGGAAGCTTCTTGTTGCATCACTTCCAAATCCTCTGCCATCTTGACCTTCTCTACAACAGACAACTCCTTTCTCCTTGAAGGCTGCCCTGCTCCCTTCCTGTTGCTCTTCATTCCCGCATTGCTTTTGTCTTTGTCTTCAATCATAGGTCTGCCTCCAAGTTTTCCCCTTTCCTCAGGACTCAAAACAAACCTTTTCTCTTCCTCCAACTCATCTATTACCTTCAACCTCTTTACATACTGGTCCTTCAAACCAGCAAGCTCAGCCTCTCTAAGAGACCTCTTTCTTTCTTTCTTTCTTTCTTTCACTGAAACCTTCTTCTCCAAAACAGGTCTTGCTTCTGCCTGCTCCTTTGGGCTGCCAAAAAAACTTCTCCAACCCATACTGAGACCAAGGTGAGCTGGAACTGGCAGGTGAAACCTGGCTCTCTGCAAGATCTTCTCTGCTGGAAACTGGGCTCTTAAAGGCTGCTGTTGGTCTGTCTGGTGTCTTGAACTGGTCTGAAAGCTTTCTTTGTACGGTTCCAGGAGCTGCCTCAGAACTGGCAACTTTGTAGTTCAAATGTAGCGCGGCCAGCGCCTTCTGGGAGAACATGGGTGGGCGATTAGGGAAATGCCATCTGTAGATGGCACTACACACGGCGCAGGAATGTGCTGGCCAGGTGTTCAACTACATGCTTTTTTGTTTTAAAGGCAGCAGAGGGTATTGTCGTATTTTTTGTTTCCCCAAGTGGTGAAAGCTGCGTGTGCGTGGCAAGCATATGAAGCAAAACATGTCTTAATACATTGCGCAATGCCAACTCCATCAGTGAAGAATGCCTCAATAGATGGCGCAGCCCTTCGCAGTACCATTTCCAACACCAACAAAAATCAGCAACAAAGCGCGGGGTTCAATCCTCTGAATCATGTGTGCCGGTTACCAAGAGCCCCGTGCCGCCTTTTCGATGGGCGAGGTATTGTATACGCTGTATACACATGACATCATGCTGTATACGGTTCTGTATGTGGAGCCACACGCACTAACTACGGTAGATTTAAGGAACCTGCTTTACCACATACCAACGAGTTGCGCCGTCCTTGATCCGGCAGATCATCTGCCGCAGATGTTCCATTTTTGGCGGAGGCTGTGTGCTTCCCCCTCTGGTAGTTGGCGCAATTGACTCAGCTCCTATGGGTTGTGCCATCTACCCCTCCACATTGCATTGATCTGCGCTTGCGTGACCACGGTTTGCTCGCGCTAGTTGCGCCATCTACCTCTCATGTTTACCTTGATGTGTGCCTGGAAGGGCGCAATTCTTTAAATGCACGCGCTCATTGTTCCACACATTCTCTGTGCCAACTACCCATTTTGGGGTATCCTTGCTTGCGCCATCCTATTTGAGCCTGGTGTATCTAGTCTGTGGCACATGAGGTACATTATGTCTGTGATGTCGCTGTGCCATGCAGCTTTGCGCGACCTCAGTGAAATTGCGTTTGCGTGAGTTCGCGCCACGGGCGGAAAGGACGCATTCTGGTGTAAGTACGGCGTGTCGCTGGGGATCAAGATTTTTTTGGCGGTGCCGACGAGGCTTGGTGTTACAGTAATCACATTGCTGTATACATTCGGTGGCACACACGGTGTGGCAAATTTACGTTTGTGATGTCACTGTGCCATGCGGTTTTGTGCGGCCTCGGTGGGAAGTGTGTTTACATGTGTCTCTGCCGTTGGTCGGAGGGAAGCATGCTTGCGTAAACGCGGATCGGGATGAGGTGCAGCGCCCACGTTGCATCTAGTCTGTGGCACACCGTGTGGGACGCTTTTACAAATTCAAAAGGTCACCATCACCATCCTCATCATCTTCATCCTGTGCTTTGGGGCCGCCCTGTCGTCTAGTTTGTAGCATGCAGTGCTGACAGTAGAAGTAGTTGCGGCGGTCCCAGTGGCAGTAGTGTGGGGTTTGTGATGTAACCTGCAAGCTATATATTTCATGGTTGTTTGTGGGGTCAGAGAACGTTTGGCGTCAGAACCTGGAGAGGTAGTGGTGGAGTAATCTGTGGGGTCAGCTCTGGAAAGGTAGTGGTGGAGTAGTCAGTGTGGTCAGCCCCCCCATTCTTGGAGGACGCGCGGTGCCAGAGCCGAGGAGTGGTAGTGGAGGGCGGTGGTGGGCAACGGTTTTTTTGATGTTTTTTGTAGTACTAGTAGCAGTACTAGTAGCAGTACTCGTAGCAGTACTCGCAGTACAAGTAGTGGTAAGGAGGAGTGGGAGGGTGTATGTTCGCAGAACAGTGGTAGCGGTGGAGTGTGGGATCCGTGAGGTAAGCCACCGTACCTATTTTGTAGTATATTCAGTATAGTCTAGTAGTTTGTGGGGTCGGTCGCCCCTCCATTTTATAGATGATGAGTGGTGCCAAAACCCAAGCGTAGTAGTTAAATGGTAGTGGTGGGGAAAGGTTTTTGTGGTACTAGTAGCAGTACTCGTAGCAATACAAGTAGTGCTATGTTGTGGTGGTCCCTGTAATGAGGAGTGGGAGGGTGTATCTTCGCAGAACAGTGGTAGCGGTGAAGTGTGGGATCTTTGAGCTACCCAAGAGTGGTAATTCTATCGTTGGTAGTGGAGTACTCTCTCCAGCTCCCCCATTTTATCGCTGGTGAAAAAACCCAGGATATCGCAAGGGCAAGGCATCCGGCTGTGAAATCAAACCTTTGCCGCCCAGACGTCAGTCCACGTCAGTCCACGTCAGTCCTATTTCAAGCCGTTTCAAGCACATTTCAATCATACAATCATACATGCCAAAGGCAGTTCGATGACGTGTTGTGCTTGTTAGTTGGCCCCCTGATTTCATGTATCAACAGTTTGGGTTGAGCCCTCTCAAATTATACCATTGTGGGTTGGACATGCTTTACATTTATAAATGGGGCGCAAGACCCCTACCCTGAATTGCCACAGATATGATGAAGGAGCACATGCAAATCTCTTTTAAGGCTGTGTGCTGCTCAGGATAACCTGACAATTTGAAAAGACATCCTATTTATCACCGACAACAAACAATTCAATAAGGCACGCTTAGGCCTTGTGAAGGTTCTATGTTCCGTCGCAGCCCTGGAAACAAACCGCTGACCCAGAACAGAACGGCCAATAGTTGTGTGCAGTTGGTTTCTCCTTTTTTTGCGCCTTCTTTCGATCCTTTCTTTTTCAAGCACCCCAAATCCCTCCACCACCTTCGATCGGGCGACTCTTTGCACATGAGTAGCTCCATCACCTCCCTCAGGAGTGGGGAGATGAGGAGTTAACGCCGTGCGCAGAGCTGTCCGGAGACCGTCCGGAACCCCAATTCGATCTTTGGATGTGTAGATTGTAGATGGTTTGCGAGCTTCTCAGAGTAAACATATAGCCAGCTAGGGTTTGCGCAAGATTGAACTCACAGCCCCAATTTAGGGCCAAAGTTTTTGAGACATGGTCCAAGCACGCGTTCATGACACCCTTGCACTAGTAGAGTGTCATCTCCAAAGATGACAGCTTTGCACCAAATCACATGGTAACAGAGCCGTCTGACATGCAACTAACTTTCATTTGCTCGGCAGTCGCCTGAGGCCCTTGACATGAGACATCCGGTGATCTTCCAATCTTTGGCCGCACCAGCGCGCCAGACAGCCGGGGAATGGACCTTTCGACCGATCAAACACCCGGAAGTGTTCACTCTCGCTTTTCGGAATAGCAAGGAATGGGAAAGGCGACAACACATTAGAACTACATAGACCAATATACCCGCAACATAGGCTTGAGGTGCCCCAGCAAAGATTGCCAAGTTGCCTAGAAGCAACAGACATGCAATGACGTGGGTGTAGCGATCGTTCTTAGGTTCCCAGTAGCCATGAGATCATGAGCTTAGGAACTTTCAACGCTGTCAAAGCTATTGCCTAGGTGGTATGACACCCACCGTTCTGTGACATTGGCAGGGAACGGCAAAGGAGGAAATCTCTCCTTGCAAGACTCAGCTTTCCAGGTGTGTTCCTCAAAAAGGATCCATCAAGTTGCACCTGGTTTTGAATTGGTGCTAAAGGAGTTTAGGCTTCGGGCTTGTGAGTTGTGGCCTCACCAGTCTCTTGAATTGTATCGGGGAAATTCAGCCCGTCCTAAGTATCACTTTGCCAGAAACCACCGGATTCCAGGTGGTCAAAAGCAACCGAGCTTCCCGAGCTTCTGTGTTTACATTGTATAGCTGCGCATGAGCTGCGCTCACAGCCGCTGGCCGGCAGGGCTCGGAATTGTGCACCGAGGGTGGAAGTCATCCCAGTACATCTTTTCGGCAGCTTTTAGAAAGACACTCTGCCTCACTTGTTACTGTACCCTGCCACGATTTTCGTCGAATCGCTTGTGAAAACATTCGCTTTCAGTTTGGTGCGACGCACTTGTCTAGCGATCCTTGCAGGAATCCATTGGTACTTGCTATCTGAAATAATACGCGCCAGCGTTGCTTGGAGGTGTCGCGCATTTGGGGCGCCCATGAGATTGTATTGTAGCAGTAGTGCTCAGGTCACACCCTGGCGAGGATGGTCCCATAATTGTTTTTGTTAATTTCCTGTTGCCCATGTGTAGTACGATGCTATGCCATGCTCTTTGCGGCATCAATCGTTTTGAATCTTCTTCCTCTGTGTTTGTATTTCAAGTCGTTTTCGATTTTTGGCTCACAACCATCCTGGCAAGCTAGTGGAATAAGTGCGGGCAACACATGGCGATGAGTAAAGACAAACAGGAGCAAGCAGAGCAGAGAAAACATGAGAACTCTGGAGAATAGTACAGACAAGAGACAGAACAGAGTAGAGGATAGTAGAGCTAACTGAGGTAACTCAGAAAGTGAAAATTAATGACACTCACAGTGTGCAGAGACACACATCTCACCGTGCTTTGGTTCTTTCAAGCTTTCCACCCGCTGGCGGAGATGACCGAATAAAAAACAATTGCTTCTAAGGAGCTGATCGAAAGAGCCACCCTTGCGCACTATCCCATTTCACATCGCTGAACAAAGTTTTGTAGTGAGTTTCGATCATTGGGGTGGGGCCCCCTGTAGTTCCAGTATTTGCTTCGGAATCTAGTTAGCTGTCCGTCGAGATGTGGTCTCCATGTGCCCAGCGAATGAGATACAGCGTGGGGCATTGCCCCCATTGGTCTCCGGTGCAAACCGCTCCGAGGCAGGCGGACGGAGGTCATTTGATTGGCTTTTTGCAACAACTAAGACGAAACGAAACAGTGGCAGTTTCCAAAAACATACCCTTCAAAAGGGGGGGGTCCTAGTTTGGATCTTGGCCAGGCCTATAACCATGTTTTGGGGGCTTGAGGACATATTGCATACAGCCGGCGGCCAATTACTGTACTAGCGTCAGTTGCAGTAGCAATCCCATTTTGGGTTTTATGTGGAGAGAGCGAACTAGCTACCAAATCTAATGTGTGGGGCCTATTCCATTCACACATTCCAGTTCTTACTCAACTTCAGTTCGTGCAAAGCCCAACACGAAGACATCCTCTGCTTCTGTCATGTTCGGCTAAGGATCTTGAGGGGACAACCCGTCAAACTCAAAATGCATGATTTGCTTCATGAAGACGACAACGACTGGTCCGGTTGCAATTCGAAAGGGGCTCTGACAAGTTTAGCTTCATGAGTGAAGTTTCTGGACTTCTCGAGGTCTTTTGCGACTCGGTTGGGTGTCAAGTGCCCTACCGCATTGGGCTGCGCTCCTTCTCGCTGCTCCGCATGGGCTGGGGAGTGGGGTGGCCCGGAGGGCAGCATGAGGATGTTGGCGGAAAGGGTGGCCTCCTCAGGTATTGATGCATTGCACACTGGGATACCTATCAAAAAGAAAATCTATTTCCATCAAAAAATTAGCCCGGCAAGAGACCCCAAACAGTGTGTGTGAGGTCTGTAAGCAGAAAGTCCAGAGATCCAGACGCATTGGGGTCCAGAGAGGCGATGGTGGTGATGAAGGTGGGGATCGTGGTGACGGGTGGTGGTGGTGGTTGGTGAGCGAGCGAGCGAGTGAGTGAGTGAGTGTGAGCGTGAGTGAGAGTGAAGGTGGGTGTGAGTGAGTGTGGGTGAGAGTGAGAGTGAGAGTGTGAGTGGGAGTGGGAGTGGGAGAGTGGGTGTGAGTGCAGAGTGAGTGTGAGTGAGAGTGAAGGTGGGTGTGAGTGAGTGTGGGTGAGAGTGAGAGTGAGAGTGTGAGTGGGAGTGGGAGTGGGAGAGTGGGTGTGAGTGCAGAGTGAGAGTGAGTGTGAGTGAGAGCGAGTGTGAGTGAGACTGAAGGTGGGTGAGTGTGTGGGTGAGAGTGAGAGTGAGTGTGAGTGAGAGTGGGAGAGTGAGTGAGTGTGAGTGTGAGTGCGAGTGCGAGTGAGAGTGAGAGTGAGTGTGGGTGAGAGTGACCAATCGCCAAATTTGAAGACCAAACCAACTGCCAACTTCAAGGACCACCTGAATAATCACCACATTCTAAATGTAAAACAATGTAAAACATACGTACAACACCCATTGTAAAGAACACAGCATACATCCAATCACCTCACCCCTTTCTTCCTTTTTGACGAATACACCGAATTCCCGACTCCCTGTATAACTGGCGAGTCCTTGGCAATGGCCACCGATGCCTTTTCGGAAGACCCTACAATTCATTCAAACCCATGCACGCTCCCTTCAGCCATAAGAAGTGGTGTATGAGAGTCATTCAGCAAATCGTTCTGTCCACGTGATGGTCATTCCAACATTGCCAACGTGCCGTGACGCGTTACGTCACGTTGCTCCACTGCTCAGTACACCTCTCGGGCGTGGCTGGGGCTGAGCCGCGCCTCGGTCCAGCGCCGTGGCCGGCGGTGGCGCTGCGCTGAACGCCAGGCGGCTGAGCATCTCATGGTATTTGCGGCGGAATCTATGGTGTGGTATCTTCAAAACTTCAGATTCCATGCAGAACATAGTGGAACAATGGACAAGAGCGAACAACACCTGTGGTCTGCTGGTGATTTTTTTGGCCAAACTCAATTCAAACCAATCATTGGGCCTGGTGGAGATTCAGCCAAGCAAGTGAAGCCTTCTCGGCCATCAGGAAGTGGTCTTGGATCCAGACCTATTCAGCCCAGAGACCTTGACACAGCTTGGAACCCAAGTATGGGTCAAACTGTTCCTTTTTGCGCTAGCTTGGCGCACTTGTTGGGACGCGTTGGTTCTTCGTGGAAGTCTAAGTTAACTTCAAAAAATCCGCCGCACAAGAATCAAAACATCCAACATTGATCTCCTGCCTATCCATCGCAGCATTGGCTCTGGCCCAACTCGCGCCAGGGCGGCAGAGCCTCTTCAACGGTATACTTATGAAAGCCTTTTTGGAGGCAGCGGATCTGTGTAAAAGTGCCAAACCACTGGCTCTTGCACATTCGGCACACACAAATGAAACGCGGTCACTTGAAGGGATTTTTGTTTAAGAGTGTTGAAGTGGACGGGTGTTCGGTGTTTACAACCTTTGCAACAGGAACTGTTCCTGTTCAACCCTCGAAACAGATTTGTGTGGGACGTCGATGAACTTTTTTGCAACTGCTAAGTTTTGTCCACCTCCTTGGTGCCCTGCTGTGTATTCAATAGGCTCAGCAGCTTCTGAGAGCTCGGCCTTCAGTGTGGATCATCAAGTCTTTGGTGCGGAGCTCAAAGCTAGGTTCCGAAGGAAACTTGGGATTGTAAATGTAAATATGATCATATGAATCATATGGTTATATATATATATATGGACGAATGTGGGATCATCAATGATCGCAACACGTTTGCCCATCTTCCCTCCTTTCAGACCCATGGAGGCCTTGTGAAATGTGGGTCGCTCTCGGAAATTGCATACCCCTTTAGAGTACTTCTCTGGTTTGCAACAGGAGATGCAGTGGCAAAGTCGCAGAGTACTTTCCATCCGGACCCGGCTCTAATGCCAAGTTCTCGAGGCAACTATGGCAGTTTGTGGAGCTTCTTTGCCCTGGCGGACCCGAGGCGCGTGACACTGCTTTGAAAACTCCGCAAAGGATAGTTTGACGGCAAAGCTTTGATACTGGACTTTCTTTGCACAAAAAAAAGGGTTCGTACCACCCGATTGGGGTGGAAGATAAATGGTGGGACGTTGTCAGTTTCTTTAGCATTGCCGATGAGTGAGTCACTGAGCGACCCTCAGTCGTTGGACCATGGCGGACGGCATGACGCCCGCCTGCCCGAGCACCTGCACATTGGCCATCCGAGCGGTGCGACTGTTGGCAGAGGCCAGCTCTAGCCAGCTGCCAGTTGGCTTCGAGCTCTGTTTTCATGGAGCACATGGTGGTACGGTACGCTGCCACAAAAAGTGTTCAAACAAGGGATTGAGCTACATTGGCTGCTGGTGTACTGGTGTTTTGGCGCATATTGTTCTGTTGGTCATCCTGCTTGAAGTAGGATCACTCAGTTTGAAGATCTCGTGTCACAGACGGAACATTTGAAACCTCCTCTTTGCCCCTGTCCAGGTGGACCAGTGGCGGAACTCGTCGCCGGCCAGGAGCGAACCATGTTTTGTCCGGAGGGAGTTCAATTCGCTGTAGTTGGGTTCCGACGGTTAAGTGAGGTATTTCCATGTAACGCCCCAAAAAAACCTAAAAACTTGACGGTCTATTGCCTACTGCGCATGGATGGCGCTTGCGTTTTGTGCTCGTAGGACTCGTAGGCTATTGATTGTCACTCATTGTAATGTCCTTGCTGTCGGGGGTGCAAAGCTCAATCCAGGCGCTTGCAGCAACTTAGCCAGCTCTCATTGCTCTTTGGCAAGGCAAGGCAGTGTTTCACATTGCAGATCGCACAAACCCAATTGATTTGCCTCTACATTTAACCACGCTTGAACCATTGGCAATGGTTTTTGGGTGCAACTCGGGCATAAAATCCAGCTGGTCAGAATCTTGACACATTCAGGCTTTGACTGCTTGTCGAATCTTGTCGAAACCTTTTGTCAGTACTTGGACCACTGGTTTCATTGAAAACTTGCGTGATACTGCCAAAAACCGAGCCTTTGCCTGCGGACCATTTGATGCTGGTGGATGACAGGAGATAGGCAGACACCGGACGTCGTCAATTCCATGGCAACTCTGGTCACAACAAGGTTAGGTTGAGTGTAGTTGTGTAGCGGACGCTACTAGGAGCAAAGGGCATCGCTACTAGGAACAAGAAACTACTAGGAGCTCCTGGCCTTACTACTAGGAGCGATCGGACGCTACTAGGAGCTTTTGCAGACCGAGCGACGGAGCAGGGCGACCAGTGGGAGTCCTTGCGGACTTGGGTGTGGCCACGGCTTACGGAGCTCTGGAAGGAGGCAGGAACACAATCAATCGGGACTGGAAGGCTGACACTCATAGAAACCGCAGTTAGTGTGGCTTGCAGAGATGAAAGTAAGTATATCTAGTAGAGGAAGAAAATTATCCTCAACTTTTTCTATTGGTTTGATGGTCCGGAGACCAACTGATAATCCCTTCCCTATGATTCCTGATCCCCAGTTCAGATGACTACCTTGGACGCAATGGGGATCTGCTAAAGTAGACCTTCGTGGGTTACCGTGTCTCCGCTGTACTGTATTGCACCTGCTTACAGACCAACTACTGGGATGATTAGAATGACCTGCATCCAAGTTGCTGACATATACGCTTACTCAATTTGTATCTTCTCATGCGGGAAGTGGAGATCTGACCTCTCGCTTGGGTAGTATCATTCTTTGGAACTTGCCTCGGATTGTTTGCATGGGCTGGCAGGCTAAAGCTTGCCAAAGGCTCCAAAGACAGGGACAGGGGAATCATGAATTCTCACCGTCACTAGCTGTTTAGCTGTCCCCAAGGCGGGATTTGACTCGTTCAACGGCCAGGATGCTTCCTGGATCCTTCAAGAACTCACCGAGCCTCAACGGAGCTGTTCTGTGGCATGAACCATGCGGGCCAGCGTGAGAGTTCGGTCACCCTCAAATGGTTTAGATGTTTTAGCAACATAACTATATCAACATCCAAAAAGACATCATTTAAGTTGATAGGTCGGGGTCATGACAGGAGCAAGGTAGAAGTGCTGTGTACACGGTTTTGTAGGTGAATCGACTCTGGTATTGTGCAATGAAGAGTCGGGACTCGGAACATTGCAAATTACCTAAGCCTATCCAACCATCCTTGTGCTTGATGTTGATCAAAGACTTGCCAAGTGCGATTGATTAGATCATCGGACAAAGGGAATCAACATTTTCCGAGGCTTCGATGCCTTGAACACCGGCAAGGCTGCAGAGGTTTTGGAGGACAGGGGCTGACAAGTTAAGCCGAGTGTGGTCATGTGTATGTGCCACAAGGTTGGGGACGAGTGTGGTAGGGGGTCAACTATCGAAGGGATGTTCTCTCGTACGGTATTATCTTCTTTTTCCAACGGGTCCTTTTGTGTCTTAGGTTGGAGGCCATCGCTCTTAGGTTGGAGGCTATAGCTTTTAGGTTGGAGGCCATCGCTGTTAGGTTCCTTTTGCTATTAGGTTGGAGGCCATTGCAACTAGGGTCCTTTTGTGTCTTGATGGCTGGCCACCTGCTTCAGGCCTTTGGCAATGGGAGCTTTCGGCCTCTGGAGTGTCAGGCAGTGTGTCGGACTGCGGCGTTCGACCTTGGACCTCGTGGCTTGTTGGTGACGAAAGTGAGACTCATGAGACTGAAAGAACTGATATTTTCTCGTGTTGGGGGGTATCCCGCAAGCCAAAGTAGGATGCTACTAGCTACTGGACGCATCACGCTTCTCCAAGGAAGCTCTCCCCGCCTGATGACAGGGGGGCAGCTTGGTTGAAGAAGCGCTCGCACTGATCATTTGGTTCCTAGATATTTAGGGAAACGCATTGGCTTTCTAATCAAAAAGCTGACTGTATGGACTTTGCAGAACGTCACTAGGAAGAGCAACGAAAAAGACACCCGTGCCACCTGGGTGTGATGGCTTGGCCTCCTGAGGAATATAGATTTCAAGAACTCAGTTTGCAGGGAATTGGTTCTGCGGGGGCCAGCCACCACTGCGGGGATGGTGGCCGATAGGTATACTGACTTAAAGCAGAAACATGGTGAAATGCAACAACGTTGTGCCCGTCAAAATTCAGGGTTCGCACCCCTGGTTATGGAAAGCACACGTGGCTTGGCAGGGGAAACTGCAACACTGCTTCAATCATTAGCTAAGCTAGTTGACTCCAGGGAGAACCTTCCTTCAGGCCAGACATGGCAACAGCTGCAGGAACGCATTTCAGTTGACTTACATCGAGGCTTCCACGGGGCTTGTCCGCCCCTTCCCTTACCGAGGTTTTGGCGGCCATTTCCATGTGTGTTTAGCTGTGACCTTAGTATTGGAGCACTTTACCACTTTAACCCCCTTCATCTTCACGCGGGGCGCCGTGCGGCAGAGCAGTGCATGGTGAGAGCAGCCTTTTGCTGATGTAAAGGGAGCCCGATCCCATGTTGACTCCGAGAGTCTGGGCCTACATAACTGTCCTGTGTGGATCCCTTGTGCTCCCTCGGTGGTGGCGTGCGACACACGTGCAACCCTGGCCGGGGGGGGTTGCTGGTGGATCGCGTGGCGTGTGTCTGTTGTTTTCTTTTCTTCTGGTGCCACCAGGGACCAGCCTGGGTAGGCGTCTCCTCAAGGGAGAGGCGCCCGGTTTCACTGTTCAACTTTTTCGCGCTTCGTCTTTGGTAAGACGCCATGCGCCTTTCCCTAAAATCTAGGAACCAAATCATTTGTGCGAGCGCTTCTTCAAGGAAGCTCCCCCCCCCGTCCTCAGGTGTGGGGACCTTCTTTGAAGAAGTGTGAGCTATCCTGGGTCCATGCTATTAGCGTCCTAGTAAGGTACTAGTTACCTCTCCCTTACCTAATTAAGTATAGGGAGTTGGGGGAGGTCGGCCAGGTCGGCAAGAACGCTACTAGGGGCTCCTGGCATCGCTACTAGGAGCAAGGACGCTACTAGGAGCTTTTCAAACACGTTTCGTGGCCGATGTTCAGGGGCCGAAGACTTGGCCTCATGCGCTCATCGCTGCGTCCATGCGTCGGAGTGACGAAGGCGCCTTCGCACATGTGGACGGTCAGTCAGTGGGTCAGTGAGCGGGCATGTCTTTGAAAGAGCTGGTCTGTAGTGTAATTACAAGCAATGTTCACATTTTTAATCTTCATTAATCTTCTAGTTTTCATGTGTTCAACTGTGGGAGTACCCAATCTTGGCTAGCCAGGGGGTCCTTGAACTTTGACATTGGGACGTTGTTCTACAATCACAGCCCAAATGTGTTTTGAAACTGCTGGCTTTGTGTTCGCAGGTTTCTCAGAATCTATCAAAATTGACGTTTTTGGAGATCCTGAATGCATCTCTCGCGGGGATTGATCGAACACGATTGATTTCCTCCCAAGTTCTGCTGCGTGACCTTGGAAGGGTTCATGCAGCATGCAGATAGGTGTCGAACTTGGCCAAGAAGGAATAACAGACAATATCAGTGAGATGAAATAAACGGAAGGTAATGGAGGCCCCCTTTAACGCTTACCAAGATGGCCCTATGACTATGCCTGTACCCTTACCTTCTTTCTTGACCCTTACTAAAGGGGCCTTACCACCACTGTTCATGTTTTCCCAAGACACGCTATATTCGCAGCATGAAGACATTCCCAAACCAATGGTCTGCGGTTTTTTCCAGTTAAGCCAGTTGCAGCTCGAACGAGCGGGTGCAAGCACATTCCACGGCGCCGAAGGGAGAGAGGCTTCCTCATCTCGCTCCCTGGAGATTGGGTGAAGCGCTGAGAAGTACCATGCATCACTAGGTTGTTAAACGCAAACATGTTGTAGTGCAGCAGGTTATTTCAGTAGACAAGCGAGGTTCAACGAATTCTGCAAGTAGTAGTACGGGCAGAACGATGCTCGACACTTGGTTTAGCCTTGGTAAATCGTACAGAACTCAACCAAGGCGCAAATGGAGGCTTTGTGGCATGCCAGGACAAGGGACCTTATAAGGTGTTGCGTGTACTTACAGCATACATAATTAATATACTTGCAGCATATATAATCATTATATGTCATGTATCCACTAGTGTATCATATCCAGCCCATCTCGCTTGTTGTAAACTCTTGCTGAGAAGAACGCAGCCTGTATTTGCTTGTTGCCTTAGGAGAGGTGATGAAGCAAGGCTTCGGCCGGGGATTCCAGGCTTCTTTGCCAGGAGCTCACAGCAAAGATTGAAGCGGAAGGGGAGACCAGGATGGCCAGGCGACTTGTTGACGAAAACAGCTCAAAAGAAGAATCTCCTACAGTAGACGGCCAAATAAGTGCTGGGACCAAGGCTGGGTGCTTGGGCCGAGGCGAGGACAGACGGGAAACACAATGGCGGGGTGTGACTTGTCAGCAACCAAGACTATAGCAAGAAAGAACACTTATATATGTAAGTGGGTACTGGTACCATCAGGCTGGCAAAGTAGAATTTGTGCAGCGGTGGACCTCTATCACTAGTAAGAACCTGTGGTACAATCTCGTTTTGCCTCGGTGCAATCTCACCCTGGATTTCAGGATCATGGCTCTGCCTGGGAGGTGCAACTGGGCGGGTACTATTGAGCACACTGAGCATGTGTGCTGACTGTGCTGACGCAGACTGGCGTGATCAATTCTGGTGACTGCGCATGTGTTCACACCATGTGAACCGCTGCCTTCAGGTGATCCGTTTTCAGGTTGATATTGGGTAGTAGGAGTTTCGCAGATCTAGGCAATTGTTGATGCATCCTGCCAGACCTCTTGCTGAAAGCGGGAAGTTCGAATGCAGACCATACCCGCAAGATTTGGTTGCATGGACATCGCAAGTACCTCAATGTCACCAATATCCTAAACGGACTTTTCCTGTCATGAAGCCGAAAAAGCTCCCAATGTGGCTAGGTGGAGCTCTCCCTTTTTGTGGCTCCAAGGGATTTGTGTGTGCTGGTCGATGGTGTGGACCTGAGTGGAAGCACCCTGTTTCCATGCGACTAGAAACCATAGAATTCCAGTTAAATATGGAATTCACACGGCAACCGCCAAAGCTGAAAGCATTCGATGGCACTCAATTGTACATGTCACATCATGTCACAGTCATTTTGCACCTACGTTTCTTCAGACATTGACTGCTGCTTGAAGTCTACATTCCTGCTCGAGCTGCCTTTTGCTGAAGCGTGATGGGTTTAGTATCCCCAACATTTCAATCATTTCCGCATGAGATCCTCACCTCCACCAGCGCTTGATCCTGTAGAGTGCAATATGTAAAATGTGTTTGCTTGGCTGCTTCATGCGAGATCAGGGGTTTTGTGGTTCTGAGCCGACTCTCTATGCCTTTAGCAAAGACGCATCGCTTGGCGCTCCCAGGAAATCGACTGTTCCAGACACATCCACAGCACCGCCCTGAGATTGACGGGTGCGGGGCAATGTGGAACATATATGGCCTCCAACCTCGTAGGTTCTCGGGAAGGCTCCACCTCCCGCTACTATAGGACCAGCTGCCCACTGGAGGAAGCGTTGCTGCATGTTGCTGCTGTTTACTCTTGGCGAACTTCGCATGAATTTGCTGGTTCGAGTCCATGCTGGTCCGTTCTTGTTTTTAGTCTGTGGCCTATGCAATGAAACTAAGCAGCAATGTAGCTCGGCCCTCCACCCTAATAGCCATAGCCTCTCGATTTAGGGACAGATGAACCCATGGCGCGCAGGCCACCAGAGGTTTTGGAAAACATCCTGGGTCCCCAGCACTTGACGCAGTGGCGACGTATGGAAAGACATATCGACTTGCCCAACGCATTACTTTTTAGAACTGGTGTCTTTTTCTTTGCTATTCATTGCAGCTTTGATCCCTTCCAGGTCCTATTTGACGCCATGGAGCTGTTTCATGCAGCATGAGCGGAGAAGCTCCAGGTCTTCTGGTCAAGGTGCGAATCGCCATGTTTTGTTTCACTCACACCCTTGGAGGACCATTCTACTCCTGGTGCCACAAATGCTAATGGAAGGATTGCTGATTGTTTCCGAAAGCTCCTAGAGGGCATGTGAACCATTTAAGAATCGATTTGCGTTTCCGGAAATAGGGGTATGAAGCAGGATCCGATGTCTCTTGCTAAGTCGCTCTAGGACGGATGCTCTCAAAACGTTTTGCGAAGGCCAAAGAAAAGATAAAAGAGGGGCTCACCAGTCTTCAAGACACATCCATATCATCAACAAGGATCACCTGAATGCCCCTAGTAGCGTTCTTGCTCCTAGTAGTACGGCCAGGAGCCCCTAGTAGCGATCGCGTGCCTGCCTTCGCCAGGTGTGGTGTCCTATTCGGGCACTGTTGCCTTGCTCCGCTGCCGCTTCCCCACAGCCCCACAAGGGGCCGTGGAGTGGGGGGCTTGTCAAAACCGCAGCTTACAGGATCCGTTGTTCATTTGTATGCTGCTGGTCCACAGGCTGCAACAACGCAGAAGACAAATAAGTACAGTATATAATTGTTGTGTTGCTTTTAACATATTGTTTTTGTGCAAGATTTCAAGCAATTTCAAGCAATTGTCGTATGTACAGGAATTGTACGATATTGAACCTTGGAACACCTAATTCTTTTCTTACTCGATGTTTGCATCTGGTTGCATCAGAGGCATAATTTTTCTGTTCAGTCAGTGGCCAAACAAATTGTTTCTCTTCAGGGATTGCCTTCGGCCTAGGCTGACTGTCTCTTCCACCATCATACCTTTGCAAGCTTTGGGATGGTCTCTGACAGGCACTTATGGAGTCCTCAAAGCAGGTGGTCGTGTGGGAATCACCAGGAATATAATATCCAATAATACAATTTAATTAATCAACTTGCTAGATAAGTCTGTAGATGAATATTTTTATTCCCCACATTCTGTTCCCAGGAGGTTATATAACCTGGAACTTCTGGAGGTTGCTTTCATATTGTGTGTTGTCACTTGCCATTGCGTTCCCAATCAGTTCACATCGTGATGCTTTTACACAGCTTTTTTTGAGCTATGCAATTCTTGCTTTGATGCTGGGTAGATTCTAGATCCTTGGACGGGACTTACGAGCCATTTTGCTTTGTGGTTAGTTCACTTGGAAGCTAACACTTCCATGTCAGGAATTCGCCTTTGCCCACTTCAGCCACTTTCGCCGGCGGGAAGCTCAAATCATTGAATGACATACCAGCAACAATGGCATTGCAATTCCAACACCTGCCTTTGCCCACCTCGCCTGACTCTCTAACCGCTTTCAGTACAAAACTTGATGATGACTGCCAATGTCCTAACATTCTTTTGATTTCTGCTACACTCACCAGTTGTGAGTGGCCAAGTGTCAAGGCTCTGAATTGTGGAACCACTTTTCTGTGGCTCGAATTGGTAAAAGGAGCCGATGACGCTGTGGCACCCCACTCCTTCTCGCCCAGGGTCTTCTCGCCACGGGGCCGTCTAGCAGTTCCTCTTCTTCGTTTGAGCCTCATCACTTCTAAGAGCAAGAATGAGTATTTTCTCAAATGTCCTAGCTAGCAAATTGACGTCTGCAACTTGGTCAAGTCAGGATGAGGGGATTTCATGCTATCTCAGAAATCAGTGTCAGGCACCCATGTTTGCATGTGATGTAGGTGGCATTGGGCTGATTCTTGGAAGTCCATGAGAACCGAGTGTATATACGCAGTTCTAAGTCAGGTGTCTCTGCTCAGTTTGGTTCCTCGGCGCCCCCGCCTTGCCCAGCGAAGGCGAAAGCTGGTTGTTTGCAGCGAGGTGCTTTATTCCTTGCTCGGCCCTCAGAGTTTAGTGGATTTGATGGTTGGGCAAGTCTTTTCGTTTTGTGACTTTTTCGTGCGCCAAATGAATTCCAGCTAGGCCAAATTTTGGAAACAGGTGGCACTT